CGTCTTCGCTTTCGGCCTCTTCCTCTTCGGGTTCGCTGGTGAGTGGTTTCTTGACGGAACCTGATGCATGGGGGCCCGCGCACAATCAGAATCGGAACAGGCGTTTGAAGACCAGACGTCAGGCCGGAAGGAAATTCGAAGAGGCTACGACAACCGCTGACGCCAGTGCAGCCCCTGAGGATCCCAGCGCGGCTCCCGACGCCGATGAGCCGCTTGCCCAACCTGGTTGGAATCTCTGCTGGGCAGCCTGGCTCTTCTCGTGGTACGACTGCACGCGGCGCGGTGGACATGGCGTCTGCGCTTCAACGCCACTGGGGTGAAGTGTTCAGGGCGAAGGAGTCTCCACCTGGTGATGTTCTCCGTGGGTATCTTCATGCTCATCTTCCTGTTGATCCTGCTCCTGAACTCTGGCCGCCGTCGATCGAAGACCTCAAGATTGCCTTGCGCAAGGGCAAGCCCAGTGCCCCTGGCCCAGACAGGCTGCCCTACCGTGCGTGGCTGGCCCATGATGATGCGGTGGAGGCTCTTTATCTTGTCTTGCTGGATATGTTCAGTGGAGTTGGATGCCCCTCGGGCTTCAATCATCACTTGCTGTGCTTCATTCCGAAAGACGAGCGGCCAGAAGATCTTATCGATGTTGTTCGGGCTCCTGGCGAGCTACGTCCGCTTGCCCTGAAGAATACGGACTCCAAGGCCATCGCCAGCACCATCAATGTCCAGTTTCGTCTGATAGCGGAACAGAGATGCCACCACGTCCAGCGTGGCTTTGTCCGTGGAAGACAGTTTACCACGCACATGGCGGAGCTCGACACTTATGCTCGCATGGCTGGTGGACATATGAATGCGAATGAGCTCAGACCTGTCTTCATTTCTTTTGATGTGTGCGCTGCCTTTCCATCGATGAGTTGGATCTGGATTCAGAGTGTGTTGGACTATCATAAGATTGCGACGGGCTTTCTCGTGGCCATTCGGGCGTTGTACCATGATATGCAGAGCTGGACATGGTGCGGTGATTCTCTGCAATTTTTCTTTCACGTATCGGCGGGCGTGGCCCAAGGATGCCCGCTTTCTGGATCTTTATGGGCGCTGACGTTTGATCCTTTCATGCGTCATCTGTGCAATGGCAACATGGAGGGCTATGGCAGTGCTTTGGCAGCAGATGGTTTCGATGTGGGCAATATTGACTATTCTCTGGCGAGTGGCCCTGATGAGATGGCGCCTTTGATTGCTGGAGCATGTGCGGATGACCTCGGAGTGGTTCTACCTGTACTGAAGGAGGTGACGCGTATTGCGCCCGTGTTTGCCGCCGCTCAGGAGCTGGCGCACTTGCGCTTACAGAGTAAGAAATGTTTCGTGGTGCCGCTCTGGACTCGCGCCTCCCCTGAGGTGCAGGACCTCGTCGGGTCCCGCCTTCGGTCTTTTGCCCCGGCCTTTTCGTGCTTTCCCATCAGGGGTCGGGCCAAATACCTGGGGATGAAATTCGGACCTGAGGCCACTCTTGAAATGCAGTGGGAGGCGCCGAGCACGAAACTCGGCTACCGAGTGCGCCTCGCTGCCTCAACGCGGGCGCCTGCGGAAGCCTCGTCTCGGCAGTGCAATTCCTGCTCTCTCCCTGTCCTGTCCTACCTCGTCCAGTTCTTTCCCCTCCCGTCCTTCCTCCTTCGCAGAGAGCAATGGCTTTTACATGAGCTCCTTCGGCTTCCCCCGAACACGTTTAAGCGTGATGAGATCCTTAGCCTTCAACAGTCGTTTCCTGGATCGGCGCCTGCGGCGATGGCGGTCCTTGGACGCTCGGCTGCGTGGCGGTTCGGGCTGCATTCGTGGACGAAGGCCAGGGTTTTCACACGTCTCTTGAGAGAATGGCATGTGTGGCATGGCACGTGTGTGCGACATGTTCGCGGGGAGTGGTCCCCGCCGTGTTGGGCCCAAAGTCGGTCGATTGCCCAATTTGTCCTGTCCGTCCTTGATGCCTCCCCCTTCCGACGTTTTCTCTCGGACTGCCCTTCGAGAGGCGGAGCGGAGGGGGGTGGAGGAAACGCGCGACCCTCTTTCCTGACCGTCTTCACCTCCTCTTCCTCCGTCGCCTCCATGCCTGGTTTCCGTCCCTGGAGCTTCCCACCCCTCGAGAGATGGAAGCGAGGTGGGCTCTCCTGAGGCCGATTCTTTCACGTGCCCAACACTCGTGGGCGTGGGCTCATTTGAAAAGTCTCGCTGGGGGATGGGTCACGACCGCCAGAATGCCCGTCCTCGCACGTAGGAGTTGTCGCCTTGGCTGCGAAGGGTGCGTGGACTCTCTTCCTCATTACCTCTGCTGTCCTCGGCTCCTCCACCTTCTAGCTCGCCATCGCCCTCGTGCTTTTTTCCCGTCCTGCCCCATGGCTCGGATTGCGCTTGGAGGCGAGGAGCATTATGACCGTCTCTTCTCGAGATCGGATGCTCATTGCTCGATTGTCCTTGCCTTCCACTTCTACCATAAACTCAAGGCGGAACAGGATGCCGCCCCTGGCTCTGCCTGTGACCTCGAATCTCATTTGAAGATTCTGCGAGGCGCCAGAATTGCAACGGGCGCCTGATATGGAGGATTGCTCGATGAGGGTACGTGCGCTCCTTCTCCTTCTCCTCCTCCTCTTCCTCCTCCTCCTCCTCCTCCACCTCCTCCTCAAAGGTTTTCTTTGGTTTGGCGTGGCTGGGTTCCTGGGTCCCTCAGGTCCGGGTACCCTGAGTTCTTACATTTGATGTTCCTGGGTTCCTTGGCTTCTGGGCTCCTGGGTTCCTTGGATCTCGTGTCCCTAAGTTTGTGGGTTCCTGGGATCCTGCAATCCTCGGTTCCTGCTTTATTGGGTTCCTGGGTGGCTATGTTCCCGATGTCCTGAGTTGCCGGGTTCGTGGGTTCCTGGGTTCTTGGGTTCTTCGGTTCCTCAATTCCTTGGTTCCTGATTTTCTGTGTCCTGCTTTTTTTGGTTTCTGCGATCCCGGGTTCCTGCGTTCTTGGGTTCTGAGGTTATCGTGGGCTCCTGAGTTCAAGGGTTTTTGGGTTCCTGGGTTCCTTGGTTCCTGGGTTCCTGGGTTCTTGGGTTCCCCAGTTCCTGGGTTCGTGGGTTCCTGGGTTCCTGGGCTCCTGGGCTCCTGGGTTCTTGGGTTTGGACTTCCGGACTTTCTGGGTTCTTGGTTTCCCTGGAATCCTGAGTTCCTCGGTTCTTGGGTTCCTGGATCTTTGGTTTCTGGGTTCCTGGGTGCTTGGGTTTGCGCGTTCCTGAATTCCTCAGTTCTTGGGTTCCTGAGTCTTGAGTTCCTGGGATCTTGGGTCCCTGGATTCCTGGATTCTTGGGTTTTTGGGTCTGGGGTTCCTGCGTTCCTCAGTTCCTGAGGTCCTGGGTTCTTCGATTCCTGGGTTCCTGCGTTCCTAGGTTCTTGGGTTTGGGTTCCCTGTTCCTGTGTTCCTGAGTCCCTGGGTTCTGGAGTTCATTGGTTCCTGGGTGCCTGGCTTCCTGGGTTCTTGGGTTCCTGGGTTTGTGGGTTCCTGAGGTCCTGGGTTCTTGGGTTCCTGGGTTCCTGGATTCCTGGTTTCCTGGTGTCCTGAGTTCTCGAGTTCTTGGGTCCCTGAGTTCCTGCTCTCCTGGGTTCCTGGGTTTCTTGGCTTCCTGGGTTCCGGAGTTCCTGGTTCCTGGGTTCTTGGGTTCCTGGGTTCCTGAGTCCTTAGGTTCCTGGGTTCCTGAGATCTTGGGTTCTTGGGTTCCTGACTTCCTGCTCTCCTGCTCTCCTGGGTTCTTCGGTTCCTCGATTCCTGAATTCCGGAGTTCCTGGGTTCCTGGGCTTCCTGGGTTCCTGGGCTCCTGGGTTCTTGGGTTCTTGAGTTTGGATTCCTGGGTTCCTGGGATCTCGGGTTCCTAGGTTCCTGAGTTCCTGCGGTCTTGGGTTCCTGGGTTCTTGAATTCCTGCTTTTTTTCGGTGCTTGAGCTTGGGGTTCCTGAGATTCTGCGTTCTTGGGCTCCTGGGTTCCTGAGTTCTTGGGTTCTTGGGTTCTTGGGTTCCTTGGTCCCTGGGTTCCTGTATTCTTGGGTTTGGGTTCCTGAATTCCTCGATTCTTGGGTTCCTGCGTTCCTGAGCCTCTGGGTTCTTGGGTTCCTTGGTTCCTGGGTTCCTGCGTTCCCGGGTTCTTGGGTTCCTGATTCCTGAGTTCCTGGGTTTCTGATTTCCTGGGTTTCTGAGTTCTTAGTTTAAATCCATGAATCCAAGAACCCAGGACCTGCGTCCCTCGGTTCCTGGGATCCTGGTTTCCTGGGCTCTTGGGTTTGATGTTCATCTGGGCGACCCAAAAGGGGGTCCAGCTGCAAGGGCGTGGTGCAATAGATTTGGGGCAATTGTATTGCAAACAATTTGCGCTGGAGAATTGTATTGCGTTGTATTGCAACTAATGTATTACACGCGAACATGCTCAAACATGATACCCAGAAGAGCTCAACACCCTGACCACCCTCCTCTCCTTGCCCACTGTGGTTCACTTTGGACTGCAGCGGCGACGGCAACTGCGACGGCGACGGCGCCGGCGACGGCGACGGCAACGGCAACGGCGACGGCGACGGCGAACGACAACGACGTCGACGACGACGACGACGAGGCACTACGAGAGCTCCTCCCCTGAATCCTCCAATAGCCGCAGCCCAACTCGAAAAAAAACCACTACAACCCGGAAAAAAACCCCCCCCCCCAAAAACCCTCTCAACCCGAAAAAAAACCCTCCCAACCCACAAAAAAACTCGCCATCCGTTTTTTTTTCGGGTTGGGTTTCTTTTCGGGTTGGGGCCTCCGCAGCGCGCCAACCCGAACAAAAACCCTTTCAACCCGAACAAAAAACGCAGCTCATGGACCCTTCTTCTTTTGGTCCTGGCATGTGCTGAAGACGCTCCGTCCCTCGGGTGCGGCTTCCCTGGAGGCGGGGCGGGGCTGCTCTTGAGGGTGCGCCCCTTCGATGGCTCTCGCCTCGAGCCCTGCTTTCGAAGGACGCGGGCTACTGCTTGGACCTCACCGAGGCGAAAGACTCGGTGGTGCAGGCTGTCTCCTGGTGTCCGACCAGAGACGAGTTCATATCCAGGACGCCTCGCGGCCGACCGTCCCCCCCTGGTTCGAGGCGCTCAAGCGGCGGGGCGAACAACAGAGGGAGAAAGAGAGGAGGGAAACACAAGGAGGTAGGGAGGGAGGGAGGGAGGGAGGGAGGGAGGGAGGGAGAGCGAGAGAGAGAGAGAGAGAGAGAGAGAGAGAAAGAGAGATTTTGATATGTAAATGTATCGAAGACGCCTACGGCGAATCACCGCCGCCGCCTGCATTTTGGAATCGCCAATGTGGCCGAGCGTTGTGGCAAGAGCTCTGCCGAGCTATCGGGCCATGTGTTTCCCCAGCCTTCGTAGAAACCCTTCGTGGAACACTCGGGGAGGATGGCGAGGAAGATTACGATGAGGAGGAGGAGGAGGAGGAGGAGGAGGAGGAGGAGGAGGAGGAGGAGGAGGAGGAGGAGGAGGAGGGGGCATCTTGGGATCCTCTGGGGGCACTCATGGGGCCTCCTTGGAACTTTCTTGGAGCATCTTGGGGGCCTCCTTGGCCCTCTTGGGGGCCTTTGGGGGCTTCTCGGGCAGGGGCCTCTCTGGCCGTCTTAGGGCATTCCTGGCCCGTCTGACGCCGTCGGAAGCCGTTTTGGGCGCCTCTTTAAGCCGTTTTGGGGCCCTCTTGGGGCCCTCTTGGGGCCCTCTTGTGGTCCGAACAAGTCATGCGACAAGATGAGACGGGGCCCAGTGGGCATGCCAGGAGCCCCAGGGGAATTGTCGGAGGCCTCTGGAGATTTCGAAAGTTTGGGTCCGGGCCCCATACGTAATGACTCCTCAGGATTGAGGACAGGCTTCCAGGAATTAGGCAAAGTACATGCGGACACGCCCACTCCGTGCCCAGATGCGCGGTGGCGGATATGTATATGTTTATGATACACACACGCGCACATAGGAGTAGTTATCGGCACGATTGTAACATAACATTCGAAGTCTGGAAACGCCGTATCCGTTGAGAGCTCATGTGCAACCTGAGGTCGAGATCCGTCGATCTCTTCTTTGGTTCAGATATTTTGAGGCATGGTCGTCCCTCAGCTGCTGGATCTCTCCCGTCCCGCTCGCTCCCAGTCGGCTTTTCACCTTTGAGACATCCGCGGATGGCGGAGGAGGCCGAGGAGGCGGAGCTGGTGGAGTCACAGGCTGGTGGTGCGGACTGCCAGTCAGAGTCTGCCGCGAATCTGGTCGAGGTTGGGCGTGTCTATTGTTGTGCCGCCTGCGACGACTGAGATCGGGCCCGCGGAGAGTATGCGCTGAGGATCGACGGCGTATATGCTGCCACAAGCGGTGGTCAGTTTGCCAATGGACGACAGGTGTGTTGCAGTGACGAGTATTGGGCGTGGTGGATGGCCAACCCTGTCGAGCGTGGGGGTGCGGGCCGTGTGCTGTGCCACTTCTGTGCGTTCGATTTGTGCAGCGCCCGACCGCCCAGCTCAGCGGTCACTTGCATCCACGTCCCCGTGTGTGCGCTAATGGGCCCCGTCGACGTGGTGCGCGCGAAGCCCGCCTGGTACCATTTTATGAACATGTTGACAAACTCATGGTTTGCTGAAGGATTCGCAAGAGCGCGCAAACTTTTGTTGAGCATCCGCGTTGCGAAGCCATTTCTTATGTATAAGGAGAAACAAAACCCGTCGATTTAGAAATCCTTTGTTGCCTCTCCTTTTTTCCTTTTTGTTTTATACTACAAATACAACACAATATCATATACCTATACATATATACAATATATATATTTTTATATATATATATATAACTATATTATATAAGATATATATATATATATAGTTATATATATATATATATATTTATACATATGTATATGTGTACGAGCCTGCGCGCGTTTACCAGTTTGCAAGGGGACCGAGGGGGGGCGATAACGGCCTGGCTGGGATAGTATGCATTCACAGGTAGGATGGACATGGTGTCTGAGTCAGAGGTGTTTTGCTTAGGTTCCCAAGGGACCAGCAATCTGTCGCGGGGGCGGTGGTGGAACTTATTGAGAAAAAAGAACCCATTGAGTGCAATCTATGCCGTGCAATTAATTCACTTCCCGAACTTGAAGTCGTCAACTCCACTGCTCGCGCAATCACCCCACCCACCCACCCGCAACTTGGTTTGCAAAACGCATGCGGGAACATCCACGCGGGGGTGATTGCGATGTGTGCTGGGTGTTGGCAGGTGCATTTTTGCGGCCGCGCTAGTCCGCGCATGCTCGCGCGCGCAGCGGCCAGCTATTTTGGCTCGACCTACGCGAACGCGTTGTCGCTGACCGCTCGGCACATCGCAGCGGGCAGTTCAGTGCGAGCAGGCGACTTGGGCGGGCGCGGTATCATGGCAACTTCGACAACGGTAGACACGATGATGATAGTAGCGATGCTGGTGGCGATGCTGACAGCGACGACGGGACAGCCAGTGACGGCACCGATGCTGATCACGCCGCCGACGATGACGGTGTCTTTCCGTCGGTGATGAAATCTTTGGAAAGAATTCGAAATGCGCGCACGGCAGGCGCGCGAGAGTGGTCCGCATGGGGCTATTTGACACGGATCGTGCCACACCAGCACGCGCGCAAGGGCGTTCGAACGATGTCGACATGCGCGCGCGACGCCCGTTTGGTAGCGTTTTATGAACATGTTGAAAACATCATGTTTTGCCCATGAATTCGCAAGAGCGCGCGCACGCTTTTGTTGGACATCCGTGTTGCGAAACATTTGTTTGTGGTTTGTGGTTTTTTAAATAAAAACACACACGCATATATGTGTACATTATCTTAATTTGTGTATGGTATTTTGTTTGGACACTCGGCTTATACATCCTTCCGGAGCCGAAGGTTTTTCAAGGATTTCGGCGTGTGCGTGAAAGGACGGACTCGCGCGTGCACATTGTCCCGTTCTTTGCAAGGGGTTCTTAGGACTTATGATTTTGGATAAACGAGTGTGCGCGCATAGTTTTTTGCAAGTGAACCGAGGGAGGGGCGGTACAGGCCTGGCTGGGGTAACACGAATTCGCAGGTAGGATGGACGTTGGGTCAGAATCACATGAGTTTTGCATAGGTTCCCGTGGAATCGATCAGTCCGGGGAAATTTTTGTTTATTAGAAAAAGAGGAGAAATCTGCGAGGCGTCGACGGGGCGTCGACGAAACGGCGACGAGACGGCGACGGCAAATACGTAGCCGCCAAACTGGTTACACGGTCCAGACGACGGGCGGCGACGAGGCGGCGACGGGGCGGCGACGGCGAGTACATAGCCGCCACATCGGCCACAGGGCCCAAACGACGGGCGGCGTCGAGGCGGCGACGGGGCGGCGACGGGGAGTACATAGCCGCCAGACCAGCCACACGGCCAAGTTGCTTGCAGCACAAGGAAGACCCCCGAAGTGCAAACATTGTTTCGAGAGAGAGAGAGAGAGAGAGAGAGAGAGAGAGAGAGAGAGAGAGAGAGAAAGAGAGAGAGAGAGAAAGAGAGAGAGAACATAAAATAGTGCGATAGAGAGAAAGGGAGAAAGAGAGAAAGAGAGGAGAGAGAGGGAGAGAGAGAGAAAATCAAAGAAAGAACGAGAGAGAAAAAGAGAGAGAGAGAGAGAGAGGGAGAGAGAGAGAAGGAGGGGGTGAGAGAAGATGGGGGAGGGGGGATCAATTCATTAGTATGTCAGTGAGGGGCTGCCCGACGGTCAATCTCTGTCCATGGGCGCGCGTGGGGGGCGGGCACAGCTGCCTTGGGACCATGCGAGGGGACCACACGGGGTTTACACCGCTCCTTTCGCGATCCCTCGTCCGCTGTGACAGCTGTGCCGCGTGCCAGTGGGCGAAGCAGAACCGTTCGGCAACCCGTCACAGAGGGAGAGAGAGAGGGAGTAGAGAGTAGACCGAAGGAGAGTGGGAGGGGTAGACATGTGGGTTCTGGGAAGGGAGACAAAGAACTGAGCGTGTAGGGTGCACACCTGGCTTGGTGAAGGGGGAGGGCGATGCTTCATAAAGAGTGCCAGTAGGGACGCAGATGCTTACGCTCTCGCCCGATTACCTTCAGTAAGCGGAGGTGTGCAGATTGATACAGGGCTTTCAGCCAGCAAAGGTTACGTGCTGGAAGTGGGACGCGCAGGCCCGCGAATGCTCGCAGACGGCTGTGCTCCAGGAGAAAATGCACCGGAACACGATCAGATGGAATCATTTCGGATCCATGGTCACGGGCGTCTTGCTTCCCTCTCTGTGTAACTGCATGTTCATTGTCAGCTGTCTTCGCAACCCTCTAAATGCAATTTGTGACGCTTCGCGTATCCCCGCTACTTCGGACATTTGCTTTCGCCGCGTGTGCTCTTCGCTCGTGGCCGCGACCAAAAAAAAGTATCCCCTCTAGTTTGCTTGAGCTTCCCAGGGCGTTCCAGTTCAGCCAGCCAGCCCCCGCTGCTGCTGCCCCAGCTGCCGCGTGAGCTGGCCCGGCCGGCTCGTGCTGCGCTCTGTAGCTTGTCGCGCCCTGTAGCTAATTAGGCATGTTCGTCGGCCCGGACACCCTGCTCGCCGCCTGCGCTTCTCGCTTGCGGCCGCGACCAAAAAAGTATCCCCGCTAGTTTTGCCTTTCCGTTTGCTGCGGTTGTCCACGCCTCTTTATCTGCCAGAGGACGGCTCCCAGCTTGCAGCTGGGACGTCATGAGGGCGAGAGGTCGAGCCGTGCTTCCGAGCCCCTGTGATAGAGGCAAGGTGGCTTGAGGCGTATTGACCCCTGGCCTTGCGTAGGAAGAGTTCTAGATGGAACGCCGATGCATCTGAGGGTGGGCTCGAGTTTACGAACCCCTGTGCGAGAAACACAGTGGCTTGTTCTTGTACTTGCGCTTGTCACGCGGCTCTTCATGTGCGAGAGGCAAACAAAGTGGTGCACTTGCATCATCGCCTCTCAGCCCATCCCAACCCTCAATCCTGACCTTTGGCCCTTGGCACTTAGCCACGGGCTTCCAACTTCGGCTTCACTTTGGGCGCCCAACGGCCTTGCATCCTTGCCGTGCATGCTTACGATCCGGTCGCACTGCAGGAGAAGTGGCCCCTCTCCTTCTCCCTCGGCTTCGCTGCAGATCAGCGTCCGTGGCAGGTCTGCATCGCGGGCTTCGGCAACCTCGCGGGCAAGGTCGACTTTTTCGCGCGCTCCGACAATGATCTCAAGAAGATCTCTTCCTGCGAGGCATTCCTGGTGTTGTCGCACCGCGCGCCCTGCACCTCCGCCACAAGCGTGCCCGTTGTCATTTGTTCACCACCTTAGTTAGTTGCGCCCGCGTTGCCCGAGGCAGCGTCGGCAACAGCAGCGTGCACAGGGGATTGGGTAGGGCCTCGCGACGGCAAACTGTAAGGGGCCCAACTTGCCGACTTGAACAGGGATCCGGTCAGTGGTGTGGGAGCTCTCGGTCGCGTTCCCCCAGTGCGCGACATAATTTCCGGCAGATCGAAGATGCCAGCTTGGAAGGAGCCCTGCCTGGTGTGGGGACCCAGTGCCGCGTCTGTCCCCGTCACTCCGTGGCATCCTTCCTGACAGCCCCTCCTACCCCATTTGTGGCAGCTCTGGTGTGAGAGTCTGCAGCCGTGTCTGGTGTGCGAGAACCTGCGGTCGCGCCTGGCCCACAGCCCCGCGGCGTCCTTCCTTGCAGCTCCGCCCCTGTGCGCAGGCGACCTGCACGGTCCATGCGGATTGGGCGCCAGACGGCAGGCGAAGCTCCTTCTTTTCGATGCCCAGTAGACGCAGGAAGGGAGGAGGAGTAGGAGTGGGAGGAGGGGGAGGCGGAGGCGGAGGCGGAGGAGGGTGCGGGTGGGAGGGTGACGATATGGGACGGAGGAGGAAGGAGGAAGGCACTGCAAATAAAGCGCCATGCCTCGGTGATGGAGACAGGTGCGGCCCCATATAATGTTCGGTGTACTTTGATGAGCCCTTCGCCAGCATGCATGCCCGAGAATGGCATCGTAGATTTCTCAAACGAAGCTTTGCTCTTGGAAGTTCCAATGCTAGCACGAAGTTCAGCTACGGAGCGACACTCTCTTGCCAAACGTCTTCTGTACGCATCTGCCGATTAAGCAGGAACGCCGTACTCGTCAACATGGTGCGACGGTTCACACTCATATTCTTGATGTCAGGACCTGTGTATTTGTGCTGTTGTTTATTTTCGTAGCCACTGTATCATCTTCACTAGACCTGCCATTGGATTGTCGCTTGCTCACACCTGTCATTGTTGGCGTTTTCATGGGACCTGCCATCGTATCGTTGTTTCCTGACGCAGCGCTCCGTCTGTGGTTTTGCTGGAGGCATTTGCTCACAGCTGTCCTGGCGCCGCGGATGCGGGTGGACAACGGGCTGAGCATATGGTGCCTCCATCTGCCGCCTGAGTGTGCATGTGATCCGCAGGTTTGCCAGTCACTCTCCGATGCGAGCATCGTCGCTGTCCACAATGGTTTGTCGGAACCAGCGCGTCCTCGGTCCAAAAGCGCATATGGGCGCTCCCAGGAGTCAGGAGGGGGGTCCCCAGGTGGGGAACACAATGATACTGTCCTCCTTCTCTTCGTCCTTCTTCTCCCTCTGCTTCTCCTCCCTTCTTCCCTCCTCCGTCTTGACCTTATCCTCCTCTTTCCCCTTCCTCTTCCTCTTCCCCTTCCTCTTCCTCTTCCTCTTACTCCTCGTCTTTGTCCTCCTCATCCTGCCGTGGCTCAGTAGCTTCACGCACATCTCGCACTTTCTAGATGTCGCTTGCTCAGGGTCGGTACTGTATGGGCGAGGCCAGCGCCGCGATGGTCATATCCAAGGTTACGACTGAAGAGTGGCTCATTGCGGAACACATCAAGGTGGTCACGGCCAAGACGGGCGAGGTGTTTCTCTTCCAGATGGATGAGCTTGTGTCGTTGGACACGTGGCCTCATGTGCTCCTGGGCGAAGAGCAGGCGTTCCGGCTCCTGCTGGTCCTTGCCACACAGCAAGGCCCACTCTTGCCAAAAACGCCCTCATGGTCCAGACATGAGGGCGCTGAGGCGCCACCGCGCCACCCGTCTCGGGACGGCCTCCAGGCCGATGGATCGAGTCGTTCGTTCGCTCGTTCGTTCGTTCCCCACCCCAGCAGTCCCCCTCCCACCGCACCCCAGCCTTCTCCACCCCAGTGGGCTCTCACTGCTATGCCGATCTGGGGATGCCGCCAGGCGCCATACTCCTAGCGCCTCCAGGGCTGCATCTCTGGACATCTGGCCGCGCTGCCGTTGCCTGCGGGGTCAGCCCCGAGGTGGCGACCCCAAGTCATGAGAGGAAAGACATCCTCCTCCTCCTCCTCCTCCTCCTCCTTCTCCTCCTCCTCCTCCTCCTCCTCCTAGTCCTCCTCTCCCTCCTCCTCCTCCTCCTCCTCCTAGTCCTCCTCTCCCTCCTCCTCCTCCTCCTCCTCCTCCTCCTCCTCCGCCTCCGCCTCCGCCTCCGCCTCCTCCTCCTCTCTCTGCCTTGTTCCTCCCTCGTCCCTCCCTCGTCCCTCGTCTCCCGTGCTTCCCCCCTCCTTACCTTCTCCCTCCGCCCCCTTCTTCTTCCTCCCTTCCCCTCCCCGCCAATTCTCGACATCATCGATCCCCCATGGCCTCACGAGCAGTCCCAGACGGTGTGATTTCGGCGCTCTCTCTCAAGGCTACATGTTGCAGAGGCTAAGGCGCATGTCTTCCAGGCTGCGGAACAGTCTCTAACGTGCGCGAGCACTGACCCCAGGGCCCTGGGGCTTCACCCCCATCCCGGGCACCCAGACCACTTCAGGGGCCCCCTACCTGTCTGGAGCCTTCCCAGAGCCTCCCCCGGGAGCTTCTAAGAGCCCCGAAGACAGCCCGAGCGTCCACCTACAAGAGGGCCCAAGAGGCTCCAAGATGACTTCAAGGCGGCCTCAAGATACCACAAACTGATTCAAAGCTTATTACCAGATGGTCCAAACTTGACCAGACGGAAAGAGCTCTACATACAGTGTATGTATTTGTGTATGGATGTTTGTTTGTGTATGTAGGCATGTGCATATAAACGCTCGCGGCAGATGAATGGGCGGGGCATAAAAGTCGAGATATGGCCGCAAACATAATGCATCGCAGTCGCTGTTGTGGCTCAGGCTTTCGCCTTCGAGTTGCCACCTTGCGCTCGTGGGCATGAGCAGGGATGCGTCGGCGTGGGGGACGCCGAACCGTCCAGCCCCCAGTCCCCCACCGCCGCCCGACCCACCCCCTCGGCGATATTGCTCGTGGTGCGGCGGGCAGCTGGGCGACGCCGAGAGCTTGGCCCTGGCGCGCGAGGGCCAGATCCTGGAGGTCTGCGAGCTGTGCTACCTCCTCGCGCTGGCCAGGCAGCACGCCTAGCAGGCGCGCCTGACGCCGGGCGAGCGGTCGGTGCTGCTGGAGCAGGCGCGGCACCTCACGGCGCTGCTCGCGGTGCTGGCTGGCCTGCTCGATGCCCTCCAAGGCCAAGGCAAATGCTCAAGGGAACGGCGAAGGCTAAGGCTAAGGCGAAGGGGCTCGCCAGCCTCCCCCCGTCTTCCCCCGTCTGCCTCTGCCTCCTCCCGTCCTCCTCCTCCTTCTCCCCCTCCTCCTCCTCCTCCTCCTCCTCCTCCTCCTCCTGATAGGTGGCCCAGCAGCGCGGCCTAGCCATTTCGGCGCGGCCCGCGGAGCTGATGCCCCCAGCGCCGCCGGCGCGACCTTGAACCATGGGCCGGGAGCCCCTGCGGGGGGCAGCTGTAGCGCGCGCAGCCGCTGACAGGCTGGTGCAGCGGCTCCAGAGTGAGATAGAGAAGTGGAAGGCGAAGGCAGAGAAGTTTGAGAAGGAGGCTGAGCAGTGGCGGCGGGCGAGCAAGGAGCCCAACGTCATCAGCTACGCAGGCGCGTGCGAGAAGATAGGGCAGCGGCAGCAGGAAGCAGGGGTGCAGACGGAGTTCCACTGGAACTGCGAGGCGCCCGTGTTTCATACCTGGCCGCAGGCGTCGGAGTCGACGCCCTGGTGTGCAGAAGGGGGCGACGTGCCATTGCGGGTCAACGATCTACACGGCGGCTGTCAACGACCAGGTGTGGGAGGTGACCGCAGCGGAGCCCGACGTCCTCAACTACAGCGCTGGGAACATGGAGCCCGAGAAGTCAGAGCCAGATATGTACCTAGCTAGTCCCAACACTACGAGCAGCGCGTGCGAGAAGTGGAAGGCGACGGACGAGCCCGACACCATAAACTACAGCGCCGAGCTCAGGGCAAGCGAGAAAGGAAGGACGAAGGACGAGCCCAACGCCATCTGCTACAGTGCGACGACGACGCGCTGCGACGAACTGAGGCGAAGGACGAGCCCGACGCCATCAGCTACAGACGAGCCCGACGTCCTCAGCCCCTGTGCGACGACGACGAGCCCCGACGAGCTAAGGCGAAGGACGAGCCCGATGCCATCAGCTACAGACCAGACGATTGCGCCTGTGGAGAAGATGGAGCCCTACGTTAAGCCCGGCGCGACCCGCCAGACGGGCGGGGCCTGCGGGAGGAGAGAGGCGAAGCTGGAGCCTAGCATGTCCATGCCTCCTCCTCCGAAGATAGAAGCTTGCGAGAAGAGGGAGGACAAGTTGGAGCCATCTATCGTCCCTAGCTCTAGCTACTCCTCCTACCACCTCGTCGCCGCGGCTGGATCCGCGTGCGCGAGCTGGGTCATGTGGAAGGCCAGAGCCGCGATCGCGGACAAGTGGCTGGTGGGCGGCGAAGCGTTGGAGCCAAAGCGGAAGGGGACGTCTAAATCTAAGCCCGCCGCCATCAGCTACAGCACAGGGAGCGAAGCCAGCCACAAGCGGTGGCTGGAACGGAAGTTGGGTAAGGAAAGTGCGAGAAGCACAGTGTGAGAAGTGAGGCGCGGCACCGACGCGTGGGCAGGTCGCTGGAGCGTGGACGCCCGCCTGAGGTGCTGCAGAGGGTAAGCTCGGGCGACGAGGCGCGGTGGAAGACCACTCACCACGTGAGCAAGGACATCTGTTGAAAAATCTCCTCCTCCTCTTCATCATCATCATCATCACCATCGCCATCATCTTCATCTGCCTCCCCCCATGCTCTCCTGCCTGTCTCTGCCATCCTGATCATCATCATCGCCGTCACCATCATCACCATCATCATCACCATCATCATGACCATCATCAGCGCCACATGATGATGACGATGGCGAGGAGGTGATAGGGATACGATGATGATGACGGTGCTGATGAGGTGATGGTGGTGATGATGATGGCCCTAAATACAGCCAGTATATATATATATATATATATATATATATATATATATCGAAGATGGGGCCGTTGTGGTCGCAAGATTGAGTTTTTCCCCATCTCAGTCGGATCTGCTTGAGCACTGGGCCCAAGCGTTCAGAACTTACGCATGGTAAGCTCGGCTAGCAGTCGCTGTTGTCCCTCCCGCTGCCACCCTTGGTTCGCCTCCAAAACCATCTCTTGCTTGCCAGATACGGCCCAGCGTCACTGATGTGTTGGAGCGCCGAACGTCTGCCGAGCTGCCCCCTCCCTCGTGCTAGTGCCGATGGGGTTCCTATAACCGAGAATGAGCGCCGAGCGACGTCGAGCGCCCCCCTTCTGATTCGTCAGGTAAAATTGCGATGGCCATACAACAGCTTATCTATTTGCTGTCGCAGACGGGCGCCCTGCCCAGTCATAGAAATATCTATCACATTGTAGGTGTGCGTGTGTGTGTGTAGAGAGAAAGAGAGAGAGAGAGAGAGAGAGAGAAAGAGAGAAAGAGAGAGAGAGAGAGAGACAACAAAAGAAAGAGAGAAAGAGAGAGAGAGAGAGAAATAAAGATATATATACATAAAACATGATATATATATATATATATAGAGAGAGAGAGAGAGAGAGAGAGAGAGAGAGAGAGAGAGAGAGAGAAAGAGAGATAGATAAAGAGGGAGGGAGGGAGGGAGAGAGAGAGGGAGAAAACGAGAGAGAGAGAGAGAGAAAAACAGAGATAACGATATGTGTTCACGTCTGTTTTGTGTATATGTGTGCACATCGATATTTGACATTTGTATGAAAGTATGTATACACGAGGTGTTTAGCTCGAATACGTATTGCCGCACTTATCTACGACAAAGGACTCCCAGTGGGAGTAACGCTGAGCCTACAAGGGCCGCCTTAAGAAGGCCGATCATAGCTTGCAAAAGAGCTCGATACGGCCCGAAGGCCGCAAGATGGCGCAAGACAGCCTGCATGCGCCCAGAGAGGACCCGAACCGGTTTCCATATGGCACTGCGAGGGCCGAAGCGGGCCCAAAAGGGCCCTCATTATGGTTCCAAGAAGCTGCAAGTGGACCCCAAGAGGAGCCCAATGCGGGCCCACACAGCCACAAGACGACAGCCCAGAGATGGCTTGGTGGAGAGGGTGGGGATGGGGGAGGACAACAAGTGGAGAAGTAGATGCTTGCACGTATGCATATTTCTAACCAATCGTGCACCCTCACCGTACCCCGGACCCGTTTACGCGCTTTCAACAATGATCGCGTTGGTTAGTTTCGCAATCCCCAGTGCCCGTATATTCGGACACCTTCGCCTTTGCGCGCTACACGTTCCATGTCTGGTTCATGCGTACAGTTTGCATAGAGAAGCCTCCTCGCTTAATATTTCTCCTTCGCGAGGGGCAAGCTCCGAGCCCTGCCCTTTCTGAACGGTGGTCCCAGCAGGCCCCTGGTCACGGCGCGAGACGTAGGTAAGGTCGAATTGTGGGCCGCTGTCGCTTGGGGTGACCCGATGATGGCGTTGTTGGCCAAGCCGTGGGTACGAGGTGACCTTGTTCGCACTACGCCTGGAAGGCTTAATGCACATACGCACCCGCTGGAGAGCCAGCCGGCAGCTGCAGTAGCCATGGGCCAGCTGGGTGACTCTAAGGTAGCTCTGCAGCGGCCGCGCGTAGTATGTAGCTGTCGGACAGCTGTGTGGCGCAGGGAGTTCGTATTCAGTAGAGAGGCATGCCCGCCTGTTTTTCCGAGCGCTGTTCTGTTCCGAAGCCTGGCCCTCGATCATCTTCGCCGTGGGCAGGAGCATGCAGCCTTTGTGAGTCTGGTATGTGTGAAAACCAGGTTATCCTAGTTCTGTGTAGGCAGTTGCGAAAGCAGGCGTCAAGGACAAAATCAGTGGCTGGGAGCAAGAGTTGGGGACGGGGGAGCCAGTGGGGCCCCTCCGTTGCGGGTCCCGGCTGGTGCTGCCTATCGTAACGAAGCTTCGACTGTTACGCCCTACCAGGCGGTTTTGCCCGGAGCTCGTGCTCGTTGGGCATTTTTTCCAGAAATGCTGTCGATCGGCTGATGCAAAGTGGAGGAGGCAGCGCGTGGAGCGCGGTGTGCAGAACGCCCGCTTCTACTCGGTAGGCCTTTGGTCTGGCCAACCGGTATTTGCGGCGCGCATGTCGGGCGCAGGGCAGGGGAGGAGGAGGAGAAGGAGGAGGAGGACGGGGAGGAGGAGGAGGAGGAGGAGGAGGAGGAGGAGGAGGAGGAGGAAGAGGAGGAGGAGGAGGAGGAGGAGGAGGAGGAGGAGGAGGAGGAGGAGAAGACGGACGAGGAGGAGGAGGCGGAGGAGGCGGAGGAGGCGGAGGAGCAGTTGGACCAGGAGGAGGAGCAGGAGGAGGAGGAGGAGGAGGAGGAGGAGGAGGAAAAGGAGAAGGAGGAGACGGATGATGATGATGAGGAGGAGGAGGAGGAGAAGGAGGACCAGTGTAAGGCCAAGAGTCATCAACGATGTTGGAATAAGCCTTCCCTCCAAGCTTCCTCTTCATAGGCCCCTACAACGGTTCATTACCACTGAGGGAACTGCCTCGTTGGAAGACAATCGTTTGAAGACCCTGAAGCATTCCAAAACACAGTGTTCTCTGGATTCCAACGCCACGGATCAACCTTATTGTTGCGTCTTGACGATCTTGAATCGTGCCAGAAAGCCATTACTTCAACACCGCAAATCAACGCGACTGTTGCACCCTCATAATCCTGAATCCTTCCGAAGCATAGTTTCTGGTACGCTGATCATGGGAACCCGTGGGACTCTTGCAACTTGTACAATCGAATGTGCGCGGCTCTAAGGCGAGAGCAACATTTTGAACACGACTCGCCCTCGATACGTGAAACTTGTGATATTTTACAAAACGAATGTGCGCGGCGCTCAGGTAAGAGCCACATTTTGAAAACGACCCGCCCTCCATCTGTGAAACTGTTGTCAATTCTCTAGAAAGTTTCAGGGTCACAAATGGTGAAAAAGTCTCAGGCGAACCGCCTGGATCGCCCTAAGAACTGGCCTTGGGGTGCGACAGGGATCAGTTTTTTATGGGGTAAAGAAATGGGGGAGGAGGAGGAGGAGGAGGAGGAGGAGGAGGAGGAGGAGGAGGAGGAGGAGGAGGAGGAGGAGGAGCAGGAGAGAGTGTCGCAACATACGCGCGCCATTGGCTGAGCGCACAGCCCCGGGCACACCCGCTGGAGGCCCCAGGGGGCCTCGCTGAGAGCTTCAGGCTGGCGCCGCCTGAGGCCAGACGGCATGCCGCCGGAGCTGTGGCCGACCTGGAGCGGCCCTCCGCCTTGCACCACGAGAAGCCTTACTTTTCGCGCTCGAGCTGCAAACCGTGCCTCGCCGGGGGGAGAGGGGGAGGGGGATGGCGTGGGGGCCCAAGCAGGGGCCTGCCGCGGTCACGGGCGAGAGCAGGTCAGCCCTCACTGGCTTCAAGGCCGCAGAGCTCGCCTACGACGAGCTGCTCGAGGCCCAAATGCCAGCTCTCTCGCTCGCCCTCTCATTTCTCATTGGCCTTTCGTGGGGTCTCGGCGGTGGGCATTCTACATAATTCCACGCTGGCTGTGCCGCCGTACAGACGAGGTCTGACAAGACCCAGAGGAGATCCGACGAGCAGCCAAATCGGATGCGGCATGGAAGAAACCTGCTGTTCTGATGGCTTGGACAGGGTGGCTCCGGACGACCCGCCGAACGCAACGGCTTTCTCCATAGGCTTTGCTTTCCGTTGAGTGCTTGCGTGCGCAAGTTATTACTAGAAGCTCAAAACAATGCTGAGTCGCTTTACGCACTTTATTTCTGGAGAGCACTCTGTACCTCCGCAGGGTGAACTGCGGTGATTGGCTTCGATACGGTAATTGTGGCGCTACTACGTCGCTATGGGATAATTCTGACGTGTAAAAGGAGGAGCCACGATTTACGATCAGCAACATGCGGTTATGGCTTAAGGTTCATGCTTGTGTAGGGATGTCAAGGTCAAGCTTCCGTCCAGCGGTGTTTATACACTAACTTCAGGCTTAATATCATGTAGGTTGGTGCAAACAGGAGGCAGCTACGTTGTTGTAAAATGGCTGCGACGTCGCCCTATTGGTGCCACTGGGGCCATCCACCTGACCATATTTGTCTAGTGGCGTTCTGTTCATTTGGCCACCGTGCCTGGGTCGTGGACAAGAGGCCTCTGTGAGGCCTTTTGGCTTTTGGGTTCTCTTGGGATGCCACTTGTGGGCCCCTAAAGGGCCTCTTCGAGGCCTCTTGGGAGCCTTCTGGGGCCTCTGGAGGCCTCTCGGGTAACTCATGGCGGCCCGCTGGCAGTCACGGGGGCGTTGCGACGGGCTCCAAAAGACAGTTCGAGTTCCCCCTCGCGGGCCCCTCTTGTGCTCCTTCTGAGGTTCTCTCAGGCCTCTCTTGGGTGCTCGGCCGTCTTGGAACGATCTCGGGGGCCTTTCGGCCCGTCTTAGGGGCTGTGAAACAGAAAAGCCGATTATGAGAAAATCACACAGCTAGCCGCATTTTTTTGTTGGACGGTTTGGCCTCTCGGGCCAAACCCCGAGGGCCTCCAAGACGGCCCCAGACCCCGACGAGAGAGGCCCAACATGGTCCCTTGGGGCCGTCTTGTGACACGTGGGAAGTGTGGACTCCCTACCACGCACCCAGCGCCTCGGGAAAAGTCACGCTGGGATCCCCGAGCGCGACTGAGAGCGCCCAGGGATTCCAGAAATCGAGGATCTGGGGTCCTGGAAGAGTGTGTAAAACAATCAATGCGGTCGGGGCGTTCGTTGAGGAATTTGCCCAGGAGGCTTCAGACCCTGGAGGCTTCCTTGTCTGACGAGGGCGGCGGTCATATCCATGGCCAAACCTCAATTGGTATTCCACCGGTTCCAGATCCTGCATTCCTTACTTAATCGCTTCGCTCATTCCGCCGGCCCATATTGTAGCATCGCTGGCACTTGCTTGCGTGCTTGGGGGGGCATTCGGGGGGCCTCCTGGGGCCGCTTGGGGGCCTCTTGGGGGCCTCCTGAGGGCCTCGTGGGGGCATCTTAGGGCCTCTTGGGGGCCTCTTGGAGCCTCTCAGGAGCCTTTCGGGGGCCTCTTGGGCGTTCCTGGGGGCCTCTCGGGGCCGAGGGCTCGAAATATCCGTGCGGGTCTCCCGTCTGCACCCCTTCTTTGAGCCGTCTTGGGGGCCTCTTGGGCTGTCTTGGAGGCCTCTTGGGTCGTCTTTGGGCCCTGTGGGGCGGTTTTTGGGCCCTCTTGGGGGCCTCGTGGGCCGTCTTGGGGCGATCTTGGGGGCCTCTTGGGCCGCTTTTGACGTTATGAAAACTCAAGTGGCGAATATGCTAAGAATGCACAGTTTGCTTAAGGAATGGGACGATTTTTGCCTCTTGGGGCCCTCTTGGGACGCCTCTTGTGGGCCTATTGGAGCGTCTGGGAGCCATCTTGGGCGTCTTGAAGCGAGCGTGTGGCATCTCGGAGCACTCTTGAACCATCTTGGAGGGCTCTTGGCGGCCTCGCGGCCCTTCTTGGGGCTCTCTGTAGGGCCTCGAGGGCGGCGCCCAGACGGAAAACCATCTCTGGCCCGAACGTCCCCGGACCGTCCCGGGACCGTCCCGGGGTACTTTTCGTCGGGGGACCCCTAGGGGCAGCCCCGCGCGCGCGAAGTAGAATCATTGTGAACCAGTTACCAGAGATCTTAGCACGCCTCTGGCCCGTTGGGCCGGCGAATTCAAGGGTTCCCGATCCAACTCCCTCACCGTATAGATGGCTCTAAGGCACAGGAGGACTCTCCACTCATTGCCTGCATCACGGTGGCAGATCGGTGGGTGCGATGTCGAGATGTGTGGTGTGAGTCGGATTTCATCGTGGGATCGTTCAAAGGCGTGCAGGAGCTACCTGCGAGGCGCGTGCGTGAGACGATGTAGTGGCTATCTGGTGCGGTATTGCAACAAAGCGGCCATTATGTAGTCGAGATGTGGCAAGGAATGTCAGTGGATTGGGCGAAATGGGGCCTTGGTGCTTCTCCCACGTCGACTACGGCAACGCTTCTGGTTTGACTTCTTGGTTGGAACAAGTCTCGCTAGAGTGGCGGCACTGCCCCCTCCCCTCAGAAGGGTGAGTACAGGTTGCGAGGGAAGTGGTTGGGAGAGGGGGAGGGGAGGAGGGAGCGAGGGAGGACAGGAGGGACGGAGGGAGGGAGGGAGGTGGAGGATGGGGCGGATGAGCAGGCGGATGTGGAGAGGGATTGGAAGAGAAGAGGAGACGCGCCATCCCTTCCCGTTGCGCTGAATTCGTTTCCATCCGCCAGCTGGGGCGTTCCATATGACATCGCGTGATACGAAATCAGACATGGAGGCTTTTGTACATTGGACGAGGAGGCGGTGGCGGATGAACAGGAAGATGAGCAGAAGGAAGAGCAGAATTATGAGGAAGGTGGAGGAGGAGCAGCAGAAGCAGGAGCAGGAGGAGCAGGATGACCAGAGGGAGTAGGAGGAGAGAACATATGGGGAAGGGACGAGGAAGACATCGGAGCCAGACATTTGTTCGTTTCTCGCTGTGGCGAGATCGAAAGTCTGAGCGACGGGAGCAACGCGCCGATCCGAAAATGAGGCCAACGCGCCAGCGGGAACACCGTTTTTCCCCAACTAGGCTTGCCTGAAGGGTTCTTGCTTGGTTAAAGGTGGGTGCCTCGGGACTCCACTTTGCCCGTTCCTCGGAGGTTCCCCGAGTTTCTCGGGTTCCCCGGGCTCTTTGCCCTCAGTGCCTCCGATTCTTACGTTGCCCGTTCCTCGGATGTTCCCTGGGTTCCTCGGGTTCCCCAGGTTCCTCGGGTACCCTGGGTTCCTCGGGTTCCTCGGGTTCCTCGGGTTCCTCGGGTTCCCCGGTTTCCTTGGGTTCCCCAGGTTCCCCGGGTTTCTCAGGTTCCTCGGGTTCCCCAGGTTCCTCGGGTTCCTCGGGTTCCTCAGGTTTCTCGGGTTCCACGGGTTCCCCGGGTTTCTCGGGTTCCTCGTGTTCCCTGAGTTCCTCGGGTTCCTCGGGTTCCCCGGGTTCCCCAGATTCCCTGGGTTCCTCGGGTACCTCGGGTTCTTCGGATTCCCCGGGTTCCTCGGGTTCCTCGGGTTCCCCGGTCTCCCCAAGCAATGCCAAGCAATGCCAAGCAATGCCCCAAGCGATGCTCCAAGCGATGCCCCAAGCAATGCCCCAAGCAATGCCCCAAGCGATGCCCCAAGCGATGCCCCAAGCAATGCCCAGCAATGCCCCAAGCGATGCCCAATGCGATGCCAAGCAATGCCAAGCAATGCCAAGCAATGCCAAGCAATGCGCCCATGCAACAGGACGCTTTCCCTAATTGGAGTCGCGCCGAGTTCATTTAAGATCGAAGTGGTCCGTTTGAACAAACGCGTTTGACAAATCAAGACGTGAAGTGGTGTGTGTTAAAGGAATCAATATGCGAAAGGGGGGCGCCCCCGCAACATATAGTAGAAGGGGAGAGATGAGAGTTGTGTGCATATTGTGTAATCGTGCGGATGTATGGCTGGGTAATCGTGTAAGGGTATGTCACGTTCCGTCCAGGCACCATCTGTGACTCCCCCCAGTCCTCACTTTCTCCCTGCATGGTCTGCAGGGGGGGAGAAGGAGGAAAAGCAGGATGGGGAGTATGATGATGATGATGATGATGATGATGATGATGATGATGATGATGATGATGGTGGTGGTGGTGGTGGTGGTGGTGGTGGTGATGATGATGATGATGATGATGATGATGATGATGATGATGAGGAGGAGGAGGAGGAGGAGCAGGATGAGGAGGAGGAGGAGGTGGAGGAGGAGGTGGCTGCCGCGGGTGGACAAAGGCGGAGGATGGGCATGGAGTTGGAAAGTGGGGGGGAGCTGGAGGAGGTGTTGGAGGAGAGGGGAAAGGTTGAATGATGATGGGGGAGAAGCAGGATAAGGAGTGATATGAGGAGGAGGAGGAGGAGGAGGAGGAGGAGGAGGAGGAGGAGGAGGAAAAGGAGGAGGACTATTCCTGGGCGATTCCTGTCTGTGATAGGGGCCTTTGTTGAACGGGGCCCGAACTATTCCTCCGCTCCGAGGTTGCCATAAGGGTGCTGAATCATCTCGTTTGAACGCTCTATCCCAGAGGCGCCTTGGCCACTGACACGCCCTCGAGATACAGCGAGCCAAACGCCCACTCCGAAACATTGGTTTCTTGGTACACCTCCTCCTTGTTCTTTTCGTATCGTTTTTTGTTTCTTGTCGGGTTTAGCACCAACCCTCAGGAACGGAAGGACTTACCACTTCCATGACAAAACTAAGAACTCCGGATGCAGCTGCACAAGGAGAAGGAATGTGGCCAGCCGAAGTGCACATTGACCGTCAACATGTGCACTGCCATGCCCCTGCAGACGGTATGGAGCAAGTGGGAGCCCGAACGCTGTGGCCAGACTTCGGTATGATGCGCAGACCTGGATTGGGCTTCCAGCCAAGCTCTGGCCGTGGGGCGGCGAGTTGCCACGACGCGTGGCCTCTGCTTGCCCCCCTTGTCGCTGGGGCGGCACACGATCCCCTACATCTCCTCACGTCGTTGAGGAGCCCTCCACGTATCTGCTGCCCTCCAGCCTGCTCTCTGCCGCGGTCCACGTCTGGCGGCTCCCCGTCGGCACCGTCGCTCCCAAGTTAGCCGACGGGGTCCGAGGGGGGCTCGGGGCTCCGCGCGCGGACCGGCCTGGCCCCTCCGCTCGGGAGGAACGGCTGAGGAGGCGGAGGACACGGAGGGGGAGGGTGAATGTGAGGGGAGGGAGGAGGACAATGCCTCGTGGTAGTGGCTCGGAGCGGCCCGCCATGCCAGGCACACTGGGCGCCGGAGCCCGCGAGCAGTTCCAGGAGAGCCGCCGCCCTGCGCGCGCGGCCCTGCGCGCCTCGTCGCCTCCGAGACCCTGTCGTGTCCCCCATCCCCCCTCCTCCTTCTCGTCCTCCTCCCTCCTCCCTCCTCCCTCTCCTCCCTCTCCTTCCTCTCCTCTCCTCTCTTCCCTCTCCTCCCTCTCCTTTCTCTTTCCCTCTCTTTGCCCCTCCCCCCACCTTCTTCGTCACCTCCCCCCTCCCTCTCCTCCTCGTTTCTCCTCTTCTTCCTCTTGTTGCTGCTTGTTGCTGGCTGCGGGCCCCCAGCAGTGGTTCCTAGTGGAGCTCTTCCGCGGAGTTCCGATCCAATCCGATACGACCTGATCCAATCTGCTTACTGTTCCTCCGTTTTTGGCATTTCAAACGTCGGGCCCTGAGACCTGGGGCCCTGAAGGGGGGAGACGTTGAAACGGTGCAAATTCAACCTGGAAGCCTTCTCCTGTCTTCAGGAGTCCATCCCTTAGGGCCTTGGCTCTGTTTCCCCTCTTCTTTCCTTCCTCAGTCCGTCTTCTGCCCCTTTTCCTCCGTCCTTCTCCTCCTTGCCCTTCTCGTATTTGTCCTGCTCGACCTTCTGGTTCATTCGAAATCCCGTTCGTCGTCTGTTTCCTGATTCTGATCATCCTTTGCTTTTCTTGCGAGGCCAACCTAGAAACCTAGAATCCTCTTCCTCTCGTATCCGTCATTCTAACGGTCGCGTTCAAATCCCAGGACACTTACGGGGAGAGCTCGACAAGGACATGGCGGACGATGCGGGCGAGTAACTACGCCACGCGCGAAAAGGATGTGGAGGAAACTGCACGGACACGACGGGCGCGGAGGACGTGATCGTGATGTTTCGCTACGAGCAGCTGCGTGGGCCTTCCCTCCTGGCCACTGCCAGGGCGGACTATGCCGCTTCACGCCATCGGGGAGCACCACGTCCCGGCCCAGGAGGCAGCCCTTGTGGCCGCCCAGCGCGACTCCAAAGCTGTCGCGATGCCGCACCTGCACTGCTCAGCGGGCCTGCAGCGGACCGCCCTCCCGTCTCAGTCCCACCTGCCGCGCGCGGAGCAGGCCCAGCCCGACGCGACGCCCGACGCGACGCCTGCGGTGATGCAAGTGGACGGTGAGGCCTACGCGGGGGTAGGTTCTGAACTCGAAATTGATCTCGGGTCGGCGCTTCCCGACGGCCAACCCGCCGCGCAGCAACCTCGAAGCCCCGACGCAAGATCCAAGCCGAACTTGGAGCAGTACGGTGCCCACTTGGCGACGGCGACCGCTCGGCCGCTGTGGACACTGTTTAGATGAAGAGGGCGCGCTCCAACCGCAAGGACTTCTCAGCCCTTTGAATGAGCCGAGTTGCATTTTGCTTAGATAGGTGTCGCCACGCACAGGTGAGCGAAACTTGCAGAAGGTCGCTGGAACTGGTTCACAGCAGAATCGCTCATGTCCTTCGCTGTTCCCACACGGCGAGGAGGGTTGCGCATGACCGAGTTGCTGAAGGATGCCGTCTCGCACGGCGTGTGCTATCCAATTGCTTCGTCGGGCCAGTCTGCTTGGCCCGTGCCTGGTTCATCTGGCGGCAGTGGGCAGTGGGCCGCGGCTGCAATGGAGGCGAACTGGCAAGACGTGCATTCCGACGCCCATGGAGGCCGTCGCCCCGCTCGGCGCGAGGGCCGAGGAGACTGTGCAGCCCGACGCCTGGCGCGATGTATACCATGACGGGATCCTGACTTCGGCTGCAGCGCAGGTGCCTGTGACTAGCTCAATGCGCGGCAGTCGTGGGCTCCGTCGCATGCTTCGGCCGGGGCAAGCCTGATTGGCATTGCTTTGAACTTCTGAGGCAGCTGGGGGTACTAGGGCATTCGCCAGTGGCTCGCGTAGTATCGCTTACGGGCCCCGCCAGCCCTGCTTTCGGAGGCGTGGAAGCGGCGCAACTCTTCTCGCCTGAGTCTTTCTCCTGGGCTCCCTCCGCGCCCGGTGCGGAAGGGGGGACCCCGTCCCTCCTCACCAGCGGTTTCGCATGGAGGAACGTCCGAGGGCAATGCCAGTCCGGAGTAAGAGAAGGACGGTCATGATGAGGTGGCAGATGTGAAGGAGGATGCTGACCCAAAGTGGGGCAGAGGTGGATCAGGTATAGCGCGAGGGGCATGGTTGGGCGCACATGGGGCCTGGCCGCTTTTTCTGGGCTGGCTTGATTGGCAGCAGTACTATTATGAGGTCGATGTGCGCGAGCCATGTCCTGCAAACTACCTGGCAGGGCGGCCGAATGGTCGCTGGCACAGGCCTGTGAGCACCAAGGACCGAGAAGGTCGAAGCCTCCGTTGTGCACCGACGGCCCGCTTCTCATGCTTTCGCTTTCTGTGCTCAGCTGCCCGCAGCAGCCAAGCTTGGCTACGTCGGCGCAGACAGCCGCTGGGGAATGGCAAGAAAGACGTGCTTGTCCTGTGGCGCGCCTACCACAATCCCCTCCATCCTTCCCTTCCCTTCCCTTCCCCTCCCTCCCCCCTATGGGTTCGGACAAATTGGGAGGTCTCCATGTCGGTGGCTTTCCACTGGAGGTTTGGCCGCGCGGGCAGATCTCCTTCCGTTGGATTAGCTTCTGCGTTCATAGTATCTGTTCTGTGGTTGTGCGGTGTTCGGGTTTGATTCGTAGGTCGACCCTGCCAAAACAAGGGTGCCCCCGTGTCCTGTGTTGCGGGACCCTGCCTACTGCATTATTGTGTCAACGTGGCCCTCGCAAGGATCTTGTGTCTTCTCGCGTGTCCTCTCCAATCAATCCCGACTGTAGCCGTCTGGGCTTGGGTCCCCTCACCCGCCCAGGAACGTGGCCCAGACCCCCCACGTCGTGTTTTTGTTTTTGTTTTTGTTTTTTTGTTGTTGTTTTTTTTTTTTTTTTTTTTTTTTTTTTTTTTTTTTGTTGTTGTTGTTGTTGTTGCTGTTGTTGTTGAACATTATTTATTCTAAAGAATAATTATTGTTGGGGCCCCTGGTGCGCGGCCCCCTCGCCGCGCCTAGGCCGCAGCCACATTTTCATCATTTTCGTGAGGAAGTCTCAGGCAAAACGGGGGTGTCCGGATCCGGTTGTTTTGTTGTCCGTTTTCCCTTGCAAAAAATAAGCTAAAGTGGACATTTCTTGTTCTAACATAACCAAACTTCAAGAATCCCTTGCAAAAAATAAGGTAAAGTGGACATTCGCGCGCGCAAGACGAAATCCTTCCAAAACCTTAGTTTTCGTAGCGATTTTAACATAAAAACATCAAAAAACAATGTTTTTTTCAAAAAAAAAGTGTCAAAATTTCATCCCGCGCGCTCTTGCGGATTCGTAGGAAAACCAACACTTTTTAAACATTTCTGTCAAACGGGCTTTTGCGAGCAACTTTTTCGAACTTCTGCAACAACGGTTGCGCACCTGCCAGGGCCATCATCCCTGTCAAATAATACCATGCGGGACACATTCGTTTTTTCTTCGCGCGCGCACGCCGTCGTCGTCGGCCGCGGGGCCCTGAATAGTAGCCACGGTCGTCCGCATGCCACGAAGTGAAGTGTCCGAACGTCATAGGGCGGGAAGCTGGGTGTGGGTGGTGGCGAAGAGTCGTTTGGAAATTTGGTAGAGCTTGAACCGGCCCCCCCACAAAGTGGGGGTATTGCCCGCCTCCTATGAAAACCCTGGCACTGGTGAGAACGGAGTGTCCCCACGTGCTAGTAATTGTTGTTGTTGTTGTTGTTGTTGTTGTTGTTGTTGTTGTTGTTGTTGTTGTTGTTGTTGTTGTTGTTGTTGTTGTTGTTGTTGTTGTTGTTGTTGTTGTTGTTGTTGTTTGTTTCTCTCTTCTTTTTCTGAACGTCGACCCCCAGAGGTTTGGCCCCTTTCCCCGGGAGCGGTTTCATCACGAGTGGTTTTCTCGACGGCCCCGAGGCCTGGGGAGGGCCCCCGCGGAGACCGAAGACAGCGAAAGACCTTCCGTCGCGACTTCTTCACAACGCGAAGAGGGGGGGGGGACTGCGGGCGGGGGTTGGGGGGGTGGGGGGGCAGTTGCAAAGACGGACCCAATTCGAGGGCTCGGGAGCGGAGGGCAGCGCAGAGGGCTCGGCTGCCGCGCCCTCGCGCCCGCGCGCGCTGCGCGGGCGCGTGAGGTCGCGGGCCCACCCCTCCCTCCGACCCCCCTCCCTCCCTCCCTCGGCTCCCACACTCCCCCTCCGGAGGTTCACGGACATCACCCCCGAGGAGCTGCAGAGGGCGGCCAGCGGCCAGGGTTCGGGGGCTCCAGGCCGGCCGCTCGCCCAAGGGGCAGCCCCCGAGCGGAGCAGCGCGCCATGTTCTGCTTGTTAGCGAGAGGGTGCTCTGCCGTCTTGCATGCCACGGTGGCTCGGGGGCGGTGGGGTGGACGGGCGGCGGGCGGGTTGGCCAGCCCGTGGCCCGAGCCGTGCCCCAATTGTGGGGCCCAGCGGAATTTCTATGATGCGCGGATGTCGCGATGGGTGTGCGGCGGGGCAAAGTGGGGTGGGTCGGGGTGAGGCGATTCTGGCGCGTCCAGCTCCACTGACTCTCTCTGTCCACTCGGCATCCGACTGCCTTATTGGCTGGGTCGGAATTTCTGGTCAGGGCAGGAAGCGTCACCGGAAGGTGTTTTTCGTGCAGATGCCTGCGGCCGATGAGGAGGTTGGCGGTGATAATGGCTTCATATCTGATTTGCATGCCTCCAGTTGTGCATCATGCAGTTCGTCCTTGCGTACATCCATGAATTATCTTCTCAGTCCGTGCATACGTCACTCCAGTACGCAGTCGATCCACGCTTGCTTCCCAACTGATTCACAGCTGACCCAAATGCCACCCACAGCCGGGTCACGCATGACTCGCAGTCGTGGGGTTGGTGGTGTCCACTGGCTTCGTGCGAGCGTGGCTCAGGCCAGCGTGCTCGCGGCCGGGGGCGGCCGATCTCGAGGCCTCGCTGCTCTGGGCTCGCCCCTCTGCCGTTTCATCGACTGCGTGCCCATCGCGTGGAGGGGTTTATGGGGCCGGTCGACACCCACGAGATTCATTGAGTATACCAGTTCAAACCTGTTGGCGAGTGCTTGCGCCCAACGTTCTGACCCAATTTCCTTGCTCTGGTCTGGCATGTCCCCGCCCGTGCCGCTCTTGCCTTCCTTTTCTATCCCTCCGCCTCCTGTGCGGTTTTTTTCCATGGTATACCTACCCTACGCTTGGGGCTCTGCAGTCATGGGGCCCTGCAGTCACGGACAGTTTCAAGCAGGAGTGGTGCGATGAATGTTCTCCATGTCCCAATCAAACGCTTGACCCTCTCTGTTTCCGTTCTCTATTCTCCCCTTTGGCGGACGCTTCATCGTAGGGCGGGGGTGCGCACAAGTCGAGAGCGTGAATATGGAAACGAACCGCATCGAACCCCTTCCCCGTCTCCGTGACTACAGGGTCAGCTACAGGCTCTTTCACGTGTCAGGATCACCAGCTCTGAGGCCGTCTTAAACGAGAGCGTGGTTGAGTGAACGCGCCGCCCTCCGAGTGTATAGCCTTTGGTATTTCATGCTGGGGAGGATCCAAGCGAGGACGCGATCCCTGGCCATTATTCGTGCGTTGTTGGACCCGCGAACTTTTCTGCCGTTGAGCGTGAGTCTACTTGATGAAAGAGCGTGGTCCAACAGAGGGGCCGCCTTCCGTCCGCACAGCCGTCGGCCAGTTGAGACTTCCTGGCGATCAGCTGTGGGGGATGCTCAGGCGAGAGCGCTATTTTGAAGACAACCCGCGCTCCATCCGCGTAGCCATTGGATACTATAAGGTTTACAATCATACTGGTGATGTGACAGTTCCACGCGACACGCCTGACCCACCATTCCGTTACTTTCTGCGGTGTGGCAATACAGCGGTTTTCAACAGGAAGGGGGATGGAGGAGGAGGAGGAGGAGGAGGAGGAGGAGGAGGAGGAGGAGGTGGACGCGGTGGCAGACAAGGAGGATATGGTTTCTTCGGGTGCAGATTCCCCCTTGGCGCCAGCATGGTAAGGAGCAGGCCTAGGGGTTCGTCCCCTGCTGGCCTGTACCGCTGAGGTGCCACAACCCGCTGGAGGACAGCGCTAGCATACGTCAGACAACCCAACGGCCGCGGCGCTATCTTTCACCTTCCGTCCCCGCGGCCGAGGCCTCGCTGCTCCTGGGAAGATGCACCAAGGTACAGTCCGACATTTTTCCCCAGTGTGTTTCCGCGGTCTCACCAGTGTTAAGCATCGGGCCCGCGATGGAGAAAGATACGATGGGAAGTCGGGGCCTCGAGGTGTCAGGGCATGGGGCAGGTTCGAGGATCGCTGTGGGAAGATGACCAACTGGCCACTTCGGTCGCACGTTGCCGCCCGTCTCGCCGCCTCTGCCATCCGTGCACCCCCATGGCTGACCCGCGAGGTCGAAGCGCCGGGTTGCAAGGCAAGAAGCAGGCATACCGTGTCTCCACCCGCTGCTGGTTGAGCTGAGGATGCAGGAGGAGGATGAGGACGAGGATGGGGATGATGATGCTGATGAGGATGATGATGATGATGATGCTGATGATGATGATGATGACGATGCTGCTGATGATGATGATGATCATGATGATGATGATGCTGATGATGATGATGATGATGATGATGATGATGATGATGATGATGCTGCTGCTGCTGCTGCTGATGATGATGATGATGATGATGGTGATGATGATGATGATGATGCTGCTGCTGATGCTGATTATGATGATGATGCTGATTACGATGCTGATGTTGATGATGCTGATGATTATGATGTAGCTGTTGTTGTTGCTGCTCAAGGTGATCGATGTTGCTGATGATGATGGTAAGGGTGACTGTCATGGTGATGCTGCTGCTGATGCTGCTGCTGAGGATGATGATCATGATGATGCTGCTGATGATGATGCTCATCATGAAGCTGTTGACGTTGATGATGATGATGATGATGATGAGTATGCTGCTGATGATGCTGATGCTGATGATGATGATTCTGATTCTGATGGTGATGGTGATGGTGATGGTGATGGTGATGATGAGGATGATGATGATGATGATGATGATGATGATGATGATGATGATGATGATGCTGATGCTGATGACGATTATGCTGATCATGATGATAATGCTCCTGCTGCTGATGATGACGATGCTGTTACTGGCAATGATGCTGATGGTAATGATCTGATATGGTATGCCATGAAATAACATGGCATGTTTTGAATGGTATGCTATGTTTCTAGGCGCTTGCATGCCGTTCGGAGCAGGCCTGCGGCGGCCGCGTGAGACGACTCTCCGCCGCCTCGGCGCAGTGCCGCTACGACACGGGGGATTTGAGGTCCTCGTGTCGTGGCGGGGGGGAGTCTTGCCCACCCAGGGGCGCAGTCCCCCCCGTGCGCTTCCCTCCCACTTGTTCTGCCATTTCCACCACTCGTCTTGCATGCGTGCTGCCGCCTTCCGCCAGCCGTCTGAGACTTGCGAGCTGCACTAGATTGCTCGCCGCCGACATGGCGATTGTCACTTCCTGCCGTTGCCCGGACCCCTCCTGGTACTGGAGACAGTGCCGCTGCCTCCGTACGACCCTGGCGAGTTCGAGCTCGTCCTGTGACGTGGGCCCCTCGCTCGCGACACCACCCTCAGGCCCTCGACCGCCCTGATCATGGCCCGCTTCAGCATCATCAGCGGCGGGAGGTGGCCGTCGCCCGTCATGATCTTGTGCGCGTCGAGGGCCCTCTTCGTGTCCGCCATCGGGTTGATGCCGTGTGCCACCTTCGCCTTGAAGACCGCCTCCGCCGTGCCGTCCTCGCAGTGTGCCTGCAGCCAAGCATCCGAAGACTTCCTGCGCAAGTCTGTTCCGAGCCTTATTCTGGAACGCCCCGCTGGCGCCACGCTGACCGCGGCCGTCTCCACCACTAGCGTCATGGGCTGGGTCCGCTGGAGCTGCGCTGCTCGCCGTCCCACAACCGGGCAACGTGGCCGCCCTGAGGGCCACCAGCACTAGGAAAGCGGACAACGTCGGGGCCCGCATCGTGGGTGTACACATGTGCAACGTTCCAGAAAGGGCCTCATCTTACAGGATCGGAGGAGTTCACATCTTTTCCTCGGTGAAAGACGGAGGAAGGCCGGCGGAAGGCGGCGGAAGTAAAACGAGGCCGCCTCCGCTGGCGAAAGCCGGCGGAAGGTCGGCGGAATTCGGTGGAAGCAGAGTCGATCTTCCAAGAAATGGCACGTTTTTTGGGTTCTGGGTTTCTGGAACCCGCCATGTGCTTGCAGATCGTCTAAACGTTGAGCATGAGTATTGCGTAGTGGACACGCTAGCGACTTAGGCTGAACCTCGTGGTTCCCAAGGACTGAAGTTGACATGCTGATGATGATGATGATGATGATGATGATGATGATGATGGTGATGATGATGATGAGGATGATGAGGATGATGATGATGATGACGACACTGATGATGATGATGATGATGATGATCATGATGATGATGATGATACTGATGATGATGAGGATGACGATTATGATGATGATGATGATGAAGATGATGATGATGATGATGAAGATGATGATGATGATGCTGCTGATGCTGCTTCTGAGGATGATGATGATGATGATGATGATGATGTGGATGATGCTGATGAGGATGATGATGCTGCTGCTGCTGATGATGATGATGATTATGCTGCTGCTGCTGCTGATGATGATGATGTTGATGATGATGATGATGATGATGATGATGATGATGATGATGATGATGATGATGATGATGATGATGATGATGATGATGATGATGATGATGATGATGATGATGATGATGATGATTAGGGTGACGACAACGACGACGGCGACGACGACCACATTGAGCAGCAACAGACGCGACGGTAGCGTAAGCTATGGCGGTGTTTCGATGCCCCTACAAGCAGAAGCGACAGCAGTAGCACGACGATCAGCAGCAGCAGCAGCAGTAGCAGCAGCAGCGGGCGGACATGGGGTAAGTCCTGACCCTTTTAGTCGGGCTTGTGGCGGGCCCCACCCTGGCCGGCAAGGCACACCTCTCTCTGGTGCAAGCCCTGGGCGCGGCCGCGTGGCTCCAGGCGCCGCCTTGCGAGGCCACCGGCACCGCCTTCCCGCACGGCCTCATGCAGGTTGGCATGCAGAGGCGGCTGCGAGTCCAGCTCCTGCAGGAGGAGTGATTCTGCCCAGCCTTTGGCAAGGTGATGGGCGTCTTCTGCGACCACGCCCTGGTGTGCGCCTGTCGCGGCGACCGGACCAAACGCCACAATGCCCTGCACAACCAGGTCTTCTTCGACGCCCTGGCCGCCGGCCATGCCGGGGCGGAGTTCGAACGCCCGGGGCTGCTACCCCCGCGCCCCGCCGGGGAGGCCACCCCCGGGGGCGAGCAGGGCGGGGCCCAGGTGGACGACAACAGCCGCCGCCCTGCCGACGTCTACCTGCCGCGGTGGCGCAACGGCACATCGGCCGCCTGGGACTTTGCCGCCGCGTGAGGGTTGCGCGCCGATCTCCTCGCCGCGTCGGCCGCTTCGTCAAGCGCAGCGACGGAGCGGTACGAGGAGTTCAAAAGGCAGCGCCAGGACACCGTGCGGCTCTGCGCGGCGCAGGGCTTCACCTCCCTCCCCATGGTGGTGGAAGCCCGCGGCGGCGGGTGGGGCCGCGAGGCACACAGGGCCTTCGGGGTCCTGGCCAGGCGGGTGGCTGACGCCTCCGGGGAAGACGCCGCGCTGGTTGCGGACCAACACGCCCAGCGACTTTCCGTCTTCCTGCACAGGGAGAACGCGCGGGCGGTGTTGCGGCGCCTCCAGACCCAGTCTGGAGGGGTGGGGGTGGCAGCAGCCCGCCTGGCCGCGGCCACGGCGGCTTCCACGGCAGACGCCGTGTGAGGTGCCCCGGCGCTGTCTAGCGCCCCCCGCACCCCCCCCGCCCTTGCTGGGCAGCACGGGCGCCCCCCGCGCCCTTTCGCCAACGTCGCGCCGGCGACCCTCCCGCGCGCCGTCCGGCCCTTCCTCGGCGGGGCGGCGGATGGATCCCGCAGAGGGCAATCCCCACCAAACCGCACCGCGCTGGGCTCGGGCGGCCACCCCGCCCAGGTCGCCGCCGGAGGGTCCGTGGCCTCGTCGCGGGTGGTTCTTCTCTCCCGGCCCCTGGCCCGGCTTGTTTGCTCGCGGTCGCTGCTTTCCCTCCTCCTTGTCGTCGTCCTCCTCCTCCTCCTCCTCCTCCTCCTCCTCCTCCTCCTCCTCCTCTGCCTCCTCCCTCTCTCCTCCTCCTCCTCCTCCTCCTCCCTCCTCTTCCCCCTCCTCCCCTTCCTCCCCCCCCTCCTCCTCCTCCTCCTGCTCCTCCTCCTTTTCATCCTCCTCCTCCTCCTTCTCCTCCTCCTTCTCCTTGGCTCGCTGCTTTCCTCCCTTTCCGTTCCTCCTGCTCCTTGCCTGCTGTCCCCGCCTGGCCCCTCTTCTGCCTGCCCGCCCGCCCCGCTGGCCCTGGCCTCCCGCCTGGGCGTCCGTCGTCGTCTGCTTGCTTCTCCCGTCCTCGCCCCCTTCCGCCGGGCAGTGCGGCCTGCTTGGGACCAGCGTGGCGCAGCCTGTTTCTGTAGCCTGCACGGCAAACGCGTTTTCACATGCATGTATACATACATGCAAAGAGGCAGTGTTGAGGATGGCGTCAGGAGATCGGCATGGTACCTGGATTTCTCTTGACCGTTGTAGTAAGAACGGGGAAGGGCCAGTCGGAACGGCCACAGGCAATTCGTAGTGAGTGCGTGGCAGGATATTCCAATATGACGATGGTGGAGGACGAAGGTGGACTTCCGCAGACAAACGAGATCAGCATCGTCCAGATCGGATGGTAGTCAGTTCGATTTCCCCATGAGGAGCAAGAGGGTGATGATGAGGATGCGGAGGAGGAGAAAGATATGGCGAGAAAGGGAAGGAATATCAGGAGTAGGTCATACTCGGCATGCTCAGAGGTCTCACTAGTATTTGGTGGCACCTCGCTGGCTAACTGGGAGGATGAGGCTGCGAGGTTTCGACGAGCACGCTTGTCGACCCCTGATCCGTTACCACAGGGAACACGCAGTCTATGCCAGCGGCCAGTGACAACAACACCACACGTTTGGCATAGGACTGCTTGCCGTGAGGGGTACGTGTCCCTCGGCGGCCGTGGTTTCACGTTTCAGCAGGCCCAGCGTCCCCGATCAAGGCGGGAAACGGGGGGGACAAGGTTGGAGAGGTCAGGCATAGGGATGGGATGCGAGTGTGCACGATAAGGTATCGGAGCAAAAAAGGAGGAGGAGGAGGAGGAGGAGGAGGAGGAGGAACAGGAGGAGGAGGGGGAAAACGAGACAGATATAGTGAGAAAAACATGAACAGTTGTTTCAAAATTGGACAGGTGCCGTGGTCGCGGATTCATCAGGAGGAGGAGGAGGAGGAGAAGGAGAAGGAGGAGGAGGATAAAGGAGGAGAGAGAGAGGAGCAAGAGGAGGAAAAAGGAGGAGGAGGAGGAGGAGGGTGGCGTTTCGGTACGTTTTGCGTCGGCATGTCCCAGGGAGACTTCTGCCACCCCTTTCGGGTTTCCCCGAAGCCGCCCGAGACGTTCCGAATTTTCTTTTAGGGACAGCTCCCAGACGTCCCTGGATGCCCCCCTGTGGGTATAATTTTCTTGAGAATTTCGGGAAGGCCGAGTGGACAACATACGGTACATAGGGAAGATGGTGCTGCCGCAGTGCCTGCGTACCAAGTCCTTTCCTGGCCTTCCTTCCTCCCTTGCTGGACCTCCTCCACCCCTCTCCCTGTTTTCCTGACTCCCCTCTCCTCTCCTCTCCTCCATCTCCTCCCTGGCCTCCTCCCTTCTCTCGCTCGCTCTCCCTCTTCCTCTCCCCTACCTTGCTTCCTTTCCTTTCTCTCCTTCGCCACTCCTCCATCTCAATCCTTTTTATCCCTGCCCTCGCTGCGACTCCTCCTGGTCTCCTGGTCCTGATCAACAGCCACCCCTTGGGCAAGCTGGTTTCGGCTTCGCAAGTCCCCCTGGACGGCTCCACATGCCAGGGCGACAGTTCTGGGGAGCGGTATCCAGTGTGGCGTGCTTCAGCACCCTCTCGCCTGGGGTGTCCAGAGATTTCGTCCATCGACCGCAGGGAGGCGTGCCCATCCAGGAAGGAGGTCATGGACGGAGAGGAAGGATGAGCGTAAGGTTGAGGGTGCCTCGAGTGTCCACTGCCGAACTTCATCCATGCGATAGCATGCTGTCACGTTGCCCCGTTCCCTTTCTTTCCCTTTCTCGGCGGCGCGCCCAGGGGGGAAGGCAGAGAGGGCGGGCCTTCTCAGAAGGCGCGTCTCAGAAGGCCGGAGGGCCCGGAAGGCCTCCACATTTCTGAGAAGCTTTTAAGCTGCATCCGAAGCCACATAGGGCGTCCTCAGAAGGCCGGAGGGCTCCTCGGAAGCACCGCCGTCTTCTGAGAAGCTCCGCCCCCTCTCACGTTCCCCTCGGCGCGTCGCCGAACAGTGTGTGCTGTCACGTTGCCCCGTTCCCCTTTCTTTCCCCTCTCGTTTCTGCCTGCTTTGCCCATTCCGTGTCCCGCGCTCCCTCCTCGCTCCGAGCGGCGCTCGGCGGGCGGAGGTCCTCCGAGTGCTCGTGACGCAGTCCCGGGAGCTTCGGCCTCCAGCAGGGTGGGCGCGACGAGGACTCAAAATGGGGAATCGTGTGGGGGAAGCAGATTTGACCAGCTGTTAGCCTGCAGGCTTCGGTGGCCTGGTGGGGAAGGGCCCGCGCCAGCAACCAGAGATGACCCCGATTGGCCGTCGGTCGTCCGAGGCCGAGCCAGAGGCCGGCCTCTCGAACGTGCGCGCGGCGAAGATTTCATGGGGAAGTGTGGGCGGAAGCACACAGATCGGTTGGTATTTTGTAGGCTGTGGTGGCCCATTGGAGGGGAAGGCCCGCGTCGGGCAGGCCATGGGTGCAATGTAGGCTAATCGTTGCAATATGGTCGTGTCGTGCATAAGTAGCATGCTTACCTACACGGCCACCCTTCGTGTCATAAGGAGGTTGTGGGGGGGAGAGGGGGGGAACCAACATCTGACTCAATCGATTTCACTATCGATCTCACTCAACGGGACACCACGGGGCACCACGGGGCACCACGGGACACCTCGGGACACCACATCGATCTCACTATCGATCTCACTATCGCTCTCGTTCAACGGGACACCACGGGCCACCACGGGCCACCACGGGACACCTTTCAATCTCATTGTCGGTCTCACTATCGATCTCACTATCGATCTCACTCAACGGGACACCAAAAGACACCACGGGACAACACGAGACACCACGGGACACCTCGGGACACCACATCGATCTCACTATCGATCTCACTATCGATCTCACTCAACAGGACACCACGGGACACAACGGGGCACCACATCGATCTCAGTATCGATCTCACTATCGATCTCACTATCGATCTCCCTCAACGGGACACCACGGGACACCACGGGACGCCTGCCGATCTCATTATCGATCTCACTCAACGGGACACCACGGGACACCTCGGGGCACCACATCGATCTCAGTATTGATCTCACTATCGATCTGACTATCGATCTCACTATCGATCTCACTATTGATCTCACTATCGATCTCACTCAACGGGACACCACGGGACACCACGGGACACCACAGGACACCACGGGACACCGCGGGACATCGCGAGCCACCGCCGGGTGGACGATCGGACGGGCGGGCGGTGGATAATCATTTGTCTTGACTTCGCCCTAGCAACGGCGGACACCACGGGACACCACGGGACACCACGGGACTGCGGGACACCGCGAGCCACCGCCGCACGGGCGGGAGGGGGAGAATCATTTGTCTTGACTTCGCCCTAGCAACGGCGGACACCACGGGACACCGCGGGTAATCATTTGTTTTGACTTCGCCCTAGCAGCGGCGGGTTCATTCCTCTCGCGCGCCCACGCTGCTTCGCCTCGCCCGCACGCGCGACACGAACGAAGCGAAACGATTTCCCGGTAGGGCGTCTCCGTCCCACTGCGATCTCACCCCCCAACCTAGGATGTGATCAAGTTTATCATGTGATAAGTGGTGCGCCCACATCTCAGGGATTTAGTCGAGGACGACCCAACATTCCCCCTGCTCTCCGAGATGGGGATGGCTTTCGCATCAACATTTCTAGGATCATGTCCAAGAGAGCCAGCCTGGGCATTCTGTTGCTACGCACACTTAGGCAGGACCCTTACGCAACGCCTAACATGATTTCGAAACGAATGCATCTCGCAAAAACCTGGCCAGCGTCAAAGATCTTTCTTTTGTCTGATCCATCGCGTACAGGACCTGCGGGGTCAACGAATCAGAAAGTGCGCATCTGCTTTCTGAAGAGCGCAGCTCTCGCTTAGTCGTTGCCCACATTTTCAGTTGGACGGATCGGGGCAAGTCGCTGGTCACATTTTCAATCAGACGGGTTGAGGCAAATCGCTATGTCTCAGCCCGATTAGAGTAATTTCCGTTTGCCTCGTAGATCTCAGCGGGAAGTCTGCCGGTGCCAGTGGACATCAGAAGCGACCGGCCAATCACGGACAGGCCAGCAGAAGACGCATGGCAGCGGCAAGAGCGTGAGAAATGGTCGTGCGAGAGATCGTCGTCTTCGTCCCATTGGGCTATGCTCGGGAGGGTCTGGACCTGCCTGCACGTGCGTTCGAGGCAATCGATGTCGCATCATATCGTCGTAGTGTATACACTAGTTTCTCCTCTCTCTCTCAGTTCTGCGGGTGCATGTTTTTTGGAGGGCCGAGGTCTTTTACAGGCTTTCTCTTTCCGTGCTATGTTTGTTCGCCTTTTAGCGTGCTGGCTTGTGGGACTCGCCGCGAAAACATTTTTTGGTGTCATTCATGTCCACGTCCGCCGCCCGTAACCAGGAAACAGCGGAAAACACGGAAAGCGTAGGCGATAGGGGAAACAGTTCTTGTTTGGTTCATTATATGTCAGCCCGTTTCATTGTTTTTGATTGTTTGTGTTTGTTTTACAGTGCTGTTCAACGGTGATCGTTTGTACCCTGGTCCGCTGCCCATAGGGAGGATACCACGGACAGCAAACAAAGGACGCCACAGCAAAAAACAAGGAACAACCTTTTCCAACATTTTCTTTTTAAATGGGTGTCTAGTATGCTTCACTGGCGAATGTAACATGTCCTACAGCTTTGGCGTGCTTTCAATTTTGTTCACCGTCTTCGGTTGTTTCCTCGGCTGCCGCTCGCAACCAGGAAACCACGGAAACACGTTGAAACACACCGGAACGCACTGAGCCCCTAGGGCACTACAGCAACATACAGTTAGTATGCTATAGCGTTTCATCGTTGATGTGATGTGATGTGTGTGTGTGTGTGTGTGTGTGCGTGCGTGTTTCGATTTTGAAGTTGTGTTTTTGTTTGTTTTCTGTCTAACGTGTTGCCCTGTCACGTCCCGTGTGCCGACCAGAACGGTGGTGCTCTCGCTTGTACCTCCCAGCGGGTGCCGCCGTACAGCAGTGCAGCCCACGTATTGCCACCGTGCCCTACACCGCCCAGAGGGTGGCATTTCTTGCGTGCGCCACACCCTTGCGGCGTGGCGTGCCATCCAACGCGCCCCGTCTGCTGCCTCTCGCTGTGCGCTACCACGGGGAGCGGGGCTTCCTTCTGTGGGCTGCACACCGGGTGCTACATTCTGCGTGCACAACCAAGAGGCTGTTACCGTCGGGGCCACTCTCATCTTGATTGTTAACCGGGGAGTGCTACTTCATATGCGTCTCCCAGAAGAGCGGCAGCTTTTTGCTGACGCCGCCCAGGTAGCGCCACATGTTAAGCCAACAACCACCAATCTGTCCAAAGTGTCGCGTCTGTGCGCGAAATTCAACACTCTCGCTTGAGGTTACGGTCGGAGTGGGCGACCACCTCCCAATACCATAGAGGCGCAATCTTTTGGCAGAGAAGGGAGTAAGAAGGAGGAGGAGGACAAGGAAGAGGAGGTGGCGCTTCCCAGGTGGCACACACGCAAGATGTCGGACAGGCCGTGCTGCAAGCACGGGGCGCCACTCTTTCGGCGACGCGCAAGAGAGGTTGGACACTCTTGGGGTGGCACGTTCGAGAGGTAACACTCTCTGAGTGGCACAGCAGTAGAAACGGCCGCACCTCCACTTGAAGCAGATCGTGGCGCGCAGGATGTGACAGCTCCTCGGAGGAGCGCGCGATAGTGGCATTCTTCAGAAGACTTGCGCAAGCTTTTACCTGCCGAGCTGACTCTATCCCGTGAGCGCGCTCACAAAGTAGGACATTCTTGATGGCATGCATCAGAGAGCAGCACACAACAGAGGTGTCACTTTAAGGGCGGGGAGTGGCAGTCCGCAGTGTGTTATCTTCTGGGTGCCGCGCAAGATGCGGCGGCCCTTTGCTGGGGCGCACAATGGTGGCACCCGCTTCGTGACAGACACACACACACACAAGTTTGCACAGCCCAGGTTGCGCCAACAAGAGTACAGTGAGCTGCACATCCAGAACAGATTCCCTCGCTGGCAGGCTCAAGCTGTTCGACGGATGCGTTCCACCCACGGCATTGTATGGATACGTGGCTTGGACGTTCAGTGCCGAGCTGGAAGGGAGGCTTCAGCGCACGCAAAGGCAAGTGCCACGGATGATTCTGCAAGCGCCGCGACGCATTCTTCAACAAAGTGAACATCATGGATTTCCTCCTGGATATCGAAAAACGGTACCAGAGCAAGATTCTGGAGCTGACGTCGACAGCACCACCTCCGCTCGTCCAGCTCCTCCGGACGAGCCCGGCGCAGATGAGGATGTACTTGAACCTTGGCTGGAATGGATAGGAAAAGCTTCGAGAACGGTTGAAGACAGAGTCAAACAGTTGCAGCTCACAGACTAGGTGGATAGCCCGAAGCAGCGTAAGAAGAACTGGCTTATTCGAGTAGCTTCCCTGCGGAATGATTCCTGGATGTGTAAAGCACTATTTATGGAACCCGTCGGAAAACAACGAATGGCGAGCACGGCGACATCCTGGCAGACCTAAGAACATCTGGGTGGACGATCTCTTGCAAAACGTGCGGCTTCAGGCAGGATGCCCACATCTGACCGTAGAAGGAACGAAGGAATGATAGCATTCGTTGTACATCTTACTTGAGTGATTATACATGTTTTGTATTGTTCATCATCCTTCTTGCCTCTTTGCTGCTCCTCCCTCCCCCCTTGTCCTGCCAATGATCTACACGCCTGTTGCGTTTCACTTTCGTCCCGTTTTACATTGGTTGACTGCCTTTTGATTTGTGCAGCACTGCGGCGCTACGACGCCAACTTGCCGGGCCCCCGCCAGTCCTTTTATGGTAAGCTACTGCCACTGCCTCTGCCATTGCAGATTTCCGATTCAGCGTGCGTTTTCGACCCAACGTTCGTTTTCGACCCAGGTTTCATTTTCGGCTCAGGGCTTGCTTTTGACCCAGGAGTTTTCAAAAGGGACTTCACGATGATACCTACAGAAATGGAGGAGGCCCTGGGATTCGGTGGCGCGAGATGCCTTGGGAATTTAGCTCGGCAGTTTCTCAACGGGAAGTCTTGACGCTGCGCGTGCCCCCACCAGCCCGTCCAGCAACGATGCCCAGGCGAGTTGCGTTGATCAGGTAAGTGTGGGGGCGCGCAATGGAACAACGAGGGGTGCGTCCGTCAAATGGACGATTGGGATCAGTCTGAGCAGGCCCAGGAATGAACGAATGAAGCCGTGTGTCCACAGGCGCATGAGCATTGCCACGAGCATGCGATCGACAGTATAGTTGCGCACCGCTGCTTTACTAGGATTCCGTTGGAAACGTCCCAACATTTGAACGTTCGAACCAGAATCACGACAGATCTGCTTACCATGCTTAGGCAATTCTGTTGCCCATGCCTGCCAGGACTGCCCTTCTTTCGGCGGCCAGGCGCCTGCGCCAACTCAGAAGATGAAGGCTGGAAGGCAACCGTGCGGACAGGATGGTCGTCGGCCTTGCGTGCGAGTTCCCCAAAAAGCAGTAACTGTCGTTACAGCAAGAGGTCGATGAACTTGCCGCGTCCAGCTCGCTGCAACGCCGCGACGTTGGTGATTCGATTGGGAAAAATCAGGATTGATACCGAGGGCTCGTCGCAGGCACCGCGCTTGAAAAACATTCAATTTGGACGGTTCGTGCCGGCGCAACCAAGATGTGTGAAGGCTGTACAGAAGCGTCGACTCGACGCACGCAAAGTACAAGTCGAACTGTGACCAGGCTCGGTCGATCCGCCGGCCCAGGAGTCAACAATAGATGCGTTCGCGGACCTTTCGATATGTGAGCTTCTTGGCAGCTTTGTGAGGCTATCTCGGGGACCTGTTAGTTTCATTTGGGAAGCCTTTGGGGCCTTCTTGGGGTTCTCTTGGGGCTCTGTGGGCCCTCTTGGAGGCCCTGAGGCCCCTCGTGGGAACATCTTGGGCGCCAGCGATCAAGAAGGGGGGGGTCCTTGATTAGCGCCCCTAAACAGCGCCAGCCCTCGAGAGCCCCTCAGATCGCTTTTCGGGCCTCCTTGTGGAGTTGTTGGGGCACTCTTGGGCTCTTTTGGGGCCGTCTTGGGGCCCTCTTGGGTCTCTCTTGGGGCCCTCTTCTTGGGCCATCTTGGAGCCATGGCGCTTCGCGCGCCAGGGGAGGTGAAATCCAGCGTCGATCCAAAACATCCCCGCGAACCTCCGAAACGTTCTAAACCACCCACGCCCTCAAGGGCTGGTGGTATCCACCACATTTGGGCCAGCCAGGTCCTTCCCAGCCCCTCCCTGGTGCTACCGCCCCCCTCCCGCCCCCGCTACCACTGTCACCATTGTCACCACCGCCACCAGCGCCAGCACCAGCACCACTAGGACCGCACGCGCAGTCCCAAGCACCACTACAAGCACCAGGAGAAGCAGACACGAGAGTGGGGGAATCTGCATTGCACGGTCTTGCTGTCGCGTTCGCGCTGGTAGTGATGATGCGCACGGAAACGCACACGGATACCAGTCGTCGTCGTACTCGCTCGTCGCGCGCGGCCCCAGCCCCAGCCGCCTGCAAGGTGGCGCAGATGATGCGGGGCGAGCTGCCCGAGAACGCTGCCCCGACCGAAGCCATCGAAGCGCTGCGCCGGCGCGCACCCTTCGCTCCAGCCGTCGCGAAGTCGTGCCATTCGCTTCGTGATCGACTTGCCGACGTGCATTTATAAAGCTTTCGGGCCTTGTGGCCGCACAGCAGCGGTTTTCAAATTTTCAGCGGGGAGGAGCCAGGATGGGGGAAGGGAGGTGGAAGGAGGAGGATGGGCGAGGAGGGAGGGAGAGAGGAAGGGGATCAGATGGGGGAAGGGAGGGACGAGGAGGGAGGAGGGACGAGGGAGGAAAGGAAAGGGAGGGGGAGGAGGATGGCGCTGGGACGGGGTCCTGCACTCCACGAAGCTGTCCGCAATGGGGTCCAGGAGCGCCGCGAAACGATCTGGCAGGCCCCGGGATCTGGAGCCCCACCCTCCCGCTCCCGCTCCCCCTCCCCTCCTCTTCTCCCTGCCCTTCTTCCAGTATTGGCTTTCGCCTGAGATCCCACCACCTCACGTATCATGATCATGAAGCTTGGAATTCACAACAGTTGTCGGGACGGAGGGTGCCTTTGGCTCGCGATTGCCGCACATTTGCATTTCGGATTCTCGAGGTTAAGCTTCAACTGTCTAAACATTGAGCCGAGGAAAGGGCCAACTTTCGCAATCTTTCTCCCTCCTGGAACCTCGCCACACCCTAGGGTTCAAAAATATATAATCAACAGCTGCAGGGATGGGGGCGGTTCCTTTTCAAGCTCGTGCTCTCGCTTCGGCGCCGCGCATATCTCTTTTCAATCTTCCGCCAGCTGCAGGGATGAAGGACGGTCCTCTAACCGTTCACGGCGTTGCGGGAAGTTTCGTGGCCGAGTCTTACCCTGTTGTGTTATTCGCTCTTTGCAAATCACACGCGGCTCCAGGCTCTCTCTGTGCAGGTCCTCGAGGCCCTCACCTTGTCAGACGCTCGCCTTCCCTTCCTCCTCTTCCTCCCCCTCCCGCCTCTCCCTACCTTCTCGCCACCCAGGGCATCCCAAGCTCCCGCCCATCGGCGGCGCATGCCCTTGCACCTGCCTGTCAGCCTTTTCCTCTCGGCCGCCAGACGGCTCCCTCACCGCAACGGCCGAGCTTGGCTCGAGGCGCTGGTCGGGACAAGGCCAAATGGGGCTCAGGTTAGCGCGGGGGGAGCTCGAGGCAATTGAGGACGGTCTCACGCTTCTGGTTTATGTTGCTCTTGCAAGTGCGAGGTGAGATCCAGCTGGACGGCCAGCGCCTGCGGGCTTTCGGCGGGAGCGTCACTGGGCAAAGCATCGATCCTTCTGCCGAGAGGTCCTTGGGTAAGGGCTGTGTCCAGGAGCATGCGGGCGGCCCAGATCGGGCGACCCGGGTCGGTATGCAGGCCCCCAGGCCAGGGCGCCGAGGACTCCAGATCGGGCGCATTGGACCACGGGGCCCTGGGGTCGGCGCCCAGGTCGCAGTGCAGAGATCTCACGATCTAGGCAAGCACAGCCGCGGCAAGGCCTTGCGGTAGACTCCCAGGAATCCCGAGCGGCAGGGAGGCGAGGATCTTCCAGAGGTTCCCAGGAGTGCGAGGCCTTCTCTGGATTCCAAGTCCATGCGCACAGTTACGCTGGGCTGGCCCTTGTTGTATCACCGTGCCGCTTGCGTGGTGCCTGACCTCTTGGTTTACCAGGATGAGGCCGGATTGCCTCGCCGTGCTGTCTTTGCTTGACTGCATCAGTGGATGATTGCCCGACGCCAGGCTAATGCCGCCGTCAGACGAGGACCTGGAGACGCCCACTTGCCTCCTTAGGTGTTGTGTGTTTTTCGGATGTAGTCGGCGTCGTCGCCTGATCATTGATTGGAGCGCTGCGCATATCTTTGCATCAACCCGCGCTTGTGAAGATCCTTCGCAAACGTCTCGCTAAGGATTCTCCTTGAGGTCTAGAACTGCTCCACCACACAGTCCTTATTAATTATGTAAGGTCGACTTGCCCCACCCTCTGTGCGCACATGTCGCACGGTATATGTTCGCAATTTACGAGAGAACGTGGTTCCCGCTTGGTGCTTTCTTACAGTTAACTGTCACAGTAATCCGAAGGAGCAAAGATCCCACCAGGGGCTTCCTCGCAATTTGCTCAAGTGTGGCTCCAGCGTGGCTTTTCTGCACAATTCGCGCGCTTTCCCGCGGTGGCTGGGTTGGTGGGTGGGTGGGGTGGTCGTCATTCCCGGTATTGAAATTTATCATACATCGCAACCCTACAGCCTACAGCATTCAGATACAACACGTGATGCCGCAAAAGTTGTTTCGTGGTTCGGATGTGGAGCTACGTCGCCTGTGGCTCACTCTGGCAGCGCCCTCCGAAGATCGCAGGACAACTAAGTGTATTGTTGTATGTTTAGTCGATCCTGTTCGATTTTGGACACCCTTTCAGGCCGTCTTGGCAGCCGTTTGGGCGCCCCTGGGCGGGTGCACCTTTGGGAGTCCTCGGGGCTGTCAAGGTGGCCTCGGTGGGGGCGTCTTGGGGCCACTTGGGCGCATCTTGGGCTATCTGAGGCGCTTCTTGGGCCCCCCTGGGGGCCTTGGGGCGCTTCGTATTCTACCTGGACCCTCTTGTGGGTCATCTTGGGACCAACTTGGGGCAACGTGAAGTCCCCTGGGTTCCCTCAGAAGGTCACAACTTCTTTAAACATAGTTTGTCCTCCAGGGCGGTTGCCGACAAGGCACCCCCAATAGAAGACATAATCCACTCCTGTCAGACCAGCGTTTGCTCGGACATGGCCCCTATCGCATGCTTTTTTCCGAATGGCGCGGCTGGACCTACGTCGATTGCTGCTCGTTGTGGCCGATCCATTCGGATGTAGTAATTCACTTGTAAGCTGGGATAGGGAGGGCAAAAGAGACCCTCTAGAGCAGGGCAGTGAGACAAAACACATGCCAGGTCTGGAAACACGGGCGGGTCCACATCGTTTTATAGCCCTCACGGGTAACTGAGGTGGATGACGGGAGGGAGGCGGGGATAGATGGAAGGAATGATGTGGAGGGAGGGAGTGAGAGAGGTGGAGGGGGCGGGGAGAGAGCGAGATAGAGAGAGAGAGGGATAGAGGATATATGAGTATCATAATGGCATTCTGATTGAACAGCCAGCGACATGCATGGTGTTCGAGCTCGCATTTTACTCCATTCCACCTTCCATCCAGTACTTTCACCTCTCAGGGGCAGTCGATTGTCGTTTAGAGAATCTGCCAGCAGTCTGCAGTCGGTGCGGTCGACAGGGAATGCTGGCAAAAGAGATTGCAGTCAAGTTAAGAACGCGGGGGAGGACGGCGCAGACGCTGCCGATAGTGGTGTACGCGCAAGGGAGGCCGCTGCACTCTGGGAATTTGCCCCTGCCTCGCGCTCGGGCGCAACCTTGTGCTGCATGTGGGAGTACCGGGAAGCTGTATGCACATGGCGCCGCCAGCTTTGGCGAGGGGTGGATGCACACACCTGCGCAAGCTGGCAGAAGGCCAGCGGAAGGCCCGCGGAAAACCAGCGGAAGGCCGGCGGAAGGCCAACGGAAGCCGGCGGAAGTAACACGGAAGGCTTATCGGCTCAAGGATTCATCGGTCGCCTTTTCCGAGCTGGGTTCCCAGCCCGACCGTGCGCAATGGCCTCTGTGCACTGTCTGTCAGTGCCGCTACAGTATCCAGCAACGCCTCGACCACCCACCCAGTACGACAAGCACAATGATGTTGAGATCACCGAGGGCAACCATGTCTTCGCCTACGGCCGTGGGCACCTTCGTCCTCGCAGCCGTTGCCAACTCCGTTTTTGCCGCCGTGGGCAGCCACGCCTTCGCTTGCGCAACCAACGGAGTGAAGCTTTTGGTCGAATACGCGTTTGGACGTTTGGGCACTACTGCAGCGATGATGGTATGGTGCACTCCTATTTGTCGTTCGGGGTCGAGGTGAGAGCTGCCCAGCGGTCCGACTGGTTGTGAATGTTCACGTGCTGTGACCAAAAGAATCTCGAGCTCTAGGGAGGAGCAGGGAGACGGGGGGGGTGCAGCGCCCTCGGCGGGTACTACGCGCGGTGCGTCTTCGGAAGTGGTTATCATGCTCCTCAGTTGCCGTCGTCGCTTCGCCAGGGATATCTTGACAAGTGACATGCACGTTGACTAGCTTTGGTTGTTGGGCATTCCCTGGTTCACGACGAAACCGTTCTTCCTGGTTATCGGCTGAGCTGGGGTTGTTGAGTAGGCTTCTGCATTGCAGCAAATTGCCGCGCCCCAGGAGGGCGCTGGTTCACGGCATCTTTCGCTACGTATTTTCTGGTGGTAGGGAAAGACGCAGACCGTTTGCAGTGACCTGTCGTGGCCTTCTGCTCTGGGAGGGTTCGCCTCCAGCCTGGCCCTTCGGCGTCCGTCTTCTCCTTCGCGGCAAGTCTTCAGGCGGACCTTCGGGGCGGTTAAAGGGTTGCCCCGAGTTCGACCGACTGGCCGAAGTTGGGTAAATTTCGTTCCGTCGTCGGCCGCGCGGCCGGGACAAAGTTTTTTTTTTTGTTTTTTCCTCGCCCGTCGGCGCCAGCGAATCTCAGCATAATGTGCCAGTCGCTTTTTGTCGGCGTTGCTGGATGGCCGCCCACACCATAGAAGGGGGCCATGGGCGCCTCTCCTGCAGTGCCGCTTCCGCAGAGGCGGGGGCGCGTAGGGGAGGGACTGGGAGGTCCGCAAGGCATGCGCCTTCGTGACCCAGCTCTGCCATCCCCGCTGCGTAGCTTCTGAGGGCTACCATTCTCGATGTGAAAAGCCATATCGTGCGCCGGATGTCAGTTGATTTTTACCTTAGGCCCATCACGAAACGCCCGTCCTGAAGGTGCATTGGGCGGTGAGAGGAAATAAGACGGCGCCGGTTCCGCCAGCGGAAGCTTTGAGAAACTCGACGGAAGGCGGCGGAAGCAAAGGTGCGACCTAACGTTGTTGGATTCAGAGCTCTCGGAATCGTCCAAACGATGCGGCCGGCCTGGGCGAAATTTGATACACACGTGGCATCGGTCTTTCTGACAGTAGGCCCTTCTATGGCCACGCATGCTGGGCTACCGCATGTGTATATCCAGCGCGCGAGTGGCGTCGGGATGTTCCACTTCCACATGAAAATCCAGCCATGCGTGTTTCTAGTTTCCTGGTATGTTCTGTGCCAGACAGGAGTCGAAGCGACCTGCACAACCCATGCCACGACTCGATCAGATCATTTTCGCGTGGGCGCGCCATGTATTGATATCCGATTTGAGCGCTGCTGATTGGAGCACGTGCAAAGCATTGCGTCCTTGTAGCCGAGCTGCGTACACCAATGTTGGCCAACAACTTCCTCCACCCTTCCCCGCTCCCCCCTTCCCTCCCTCCCTCCCTCCCCCTCTGCCCGCCCTGTCGGCCTCTCTTCCTTCCCTCTCTTCCTGCCTGTCCCCCTTCCTCCCTGCCAACCCGCCTGTATCCCCCCCACACCTCACTCTTCCGCCCCTGTCCATCCTCCCTGCCCCTGTCCCCCCCCCGCCCCGCTTCTCCGTTCTCCCTTCCTTCATGCCAGCCCGCCCGCTCGACACCCTCCACCCCTCAACCACTCTCCTGCCTGGTTGGCGACGTGGGCTGGGCAGCGGAGGCCGCGCCCCGCGCTGTGCCGCGGGAAAGCACAGTGGCGGCCGCGCTGCGAGAACCACCGAAGCCGGTGCGGCCGCCCCTGCCGCCGGCCGTTCTCCCTCCCTCTCTTTGGCCGTGTGGCTCAGTTCGTCGGCGCGCCCAGGGGGTCAGGCAGAGGGGGCCGGCCTTCTCAGAAAAGGCTCAGGAGGCCCTCCAGGCTTTCGACGCCTTCTCCGAAGCCACAGAGGCCTTTCAGAAGGCGCCAAGTCTTCTGAGAAGGCCTTCTGAGAAGGCCTAGCCCCCTCTCACTTCCGCCTCGGTGCGCTGCCGACCAGTGCGGCGGTGAGAGGTCTGGATGTCGTTCGGAGGTCTCAGCGGACCAGAACCCCGTACACGAGGGACCAATCAGCCAGTTGAGGGTGTGATCTTTTACCGTCTCGTGGTACTTCGCGTTCAGTGCTGGTTCGTCTCTCGAATGCGACTCAGCATCCTGAGATGACTCACGCAGTCAGCTAGTTGAGTCTTCCAGCGGCCTGCTGACGCAGTCGGTGTGCACCTTCGATCATTTTTTGCGATTTTCGTCGAAGACGGTGGTCCACCGCACAGCGGACAGCATGACCCCCAACCCCCAACCATCCCTGACAGAAACTGACGCAAGATGATTGCGGGGGGCCCGCACCGGTCCAGTGTTTGCCGCAACATGCGCTCTGAATTGTTCCCAACCATCCTGTGGTGTTGGGTCCTCGTTTTGAAGAAACGGTCCCCGCGTTCTCCTCTCCTCTCCTCCTCCCCCTCCCCCTCCTCCCTCCTCCCTCCTCCCACCATCATCATCGTCATCATCATCATCGTTATCGTCATCATCATCGTTATCGTCATCATCATCATCATCATCATCATCATCATCATCATCATCATCATCATCATCATCATCATCATCATCATCGTCATCACCCACCATCATCATCATCATCACCATCATCGTCATCTCACACGTTTCGTGGCCCCAGCTCCACCGAAGGCCCCATCATCGTCACACGTTTCCCCATAGGGAGCTCCACCGAAGGCCCCAGTGCTGCCGCCCGCATGCGTCAGCCACCCAATTCGGCACACCCCTCACACGTTTCGTGGCCCCATAGGGAGCTCCACCGAAGGCCCCAGTGCTGCCGCCCGCATGCGTCAGCCACACCCAGTTCGGCACACCCCTCACACGTTTCGTGGCCCCATAGGGAGCTCCACCGAAGGCCCCAGTGCCGCCGCCCGCATGCGTCAGCCACACCCAATTCGGCACACCCCTCACACGTTTCGTGGCCCCATAGGGAGCTCCACCGAAGGCCCCAGTGCTGCCGCCCGCATGCGTCAGCCACACCCAATTCGGCACACCCCTCACACGTTTCGTGGCCCCATAGGGAGCTCCACCGAAGGCCCCAGTGGCTGCCGCCCGCATGCGTCCCGCACACCCATTTCGGCACACCCCTCACACGTTTCGTGGCCCCATAGGGAGCTCCACCGAAGGCCCCAGTGCTGCCGCCCGCATGCGTCAGCCACACCCAATTCGGCACACCCCTCACACGTTTCGTGGCCCCATAGGGAGCTCCACCGAAGGCCCCAGTGCTGCCGCCCGCATGCGTCAGCCACACCCAGTTCGGCACACCCCTCACACGTTTCGTGGCCCCATAGGGAGCTCCACCGAAGGCCCCAGTGCCGCCGCCCGCATGCGTCAGCCACACCCAGTTCGGCACACCCCTCACACGTTTCGTGGCCCCATAGGGAGCTCCACCGAAGGCCCCAGTGCGCCGCCCGCATGCGTCAGCCACACCCAATTCGGCACACCCCTCACACGTTTCGTGGCCCCATAGGGAGCTCCACCGAAGGCCCCAGTGCTGCCGCCCGCATGCGTCAGCCACACCCAATTCGGCACACCCCTCACACGCTTTCGTGGCCCCATAGGGAGCTCCACCGAAGGCCGCAGTGCCGCCGCCCGCATGCGTCAGCCACATCCAATTCGGCACACCCCTCACACGCTTCGTGGCCCCAACCCGCATGCGTCAGCCACACCCATTTCGGCACACCCCTCACACGTTTCGTGGCCCCATAGGGAGCTCCACCGAAGGCCCCAGTGCCACCGCTCGCATGCGTCCCGCACACCCATTTCGGCACCTCCACCAAACACAGCGTTTCGTGGCCCCACAGGGACCTCCACCGAAGGCCCCAGTGGTGCCGCCCGCATGCGTCACCCCCACCCCAGCACAGCATTTCGTGGCCCCACAGGGAGCTCCACCGAAGGCCCCAGTGGTGCCGCCCGCATGCGCCACCCCCACCCAGCACAGCGTTTCGTGGCCCCACAGGGAGCTCCACCGACGGCCCCAGTGGTGCCGCCCGCATGCGTCACCCCCGCCCAGTACAGCGTTTCGTGGCCCCACAGGGACCTCCACCGAAGGCCCCAGTGGTGCCGCCCGCATGCGTCACCCCCACCCAGCACAGCGTTTCGTGGCCCCACAGGGAGCTCCACCGAAAGCGGCACCCGCAATGCGATATTCACAACTGCACATGGTTGGGTTCTTCACCAGGATAATTTTTCGGCAGTGAAGGCCAGGGGGGATCATGGTCTGCGGCTAGCGGCCACTCGAGTGGAAGAGGGGTGCTGATCAGCAGGGAGCAGGGATCAAACCATTTCTGAAGGGGTAGGCGGAGGCGGAGGAGTTGGGGGTTTCTCAATGGATGCAAGGTGCGCCGAACTCTGTGATTCTGCTCACCCACTTTGCGGCAGCGTTCCAACCACTGGTCATTTCCTGGATACTGATCGTCCTCAGTTCAATTTGCATCTCGACACCAATCATACGTTTTTTACGCTTCGCTGCACATAGAAGACGCTGCCACGATCACGCTTGCTGAGCGGCAATTTGCTACATCACGGTGGGGAAGGGAGTGCGGCAAGGCGATCTAACCAGCATGTGCCTCTTTTCGTTGGCGCTGGACCCGATTATGCGCTGAATGTTGTGGACAGGGGGCCGTCACATCGACAAAAACCATGTGTATGCCAATGGTCTGTTGTTTGGCATGAATATCTTGTGCGCGAATTTGTTTCCGACCCTGACGTTTCTGGAAGTCCTGGAGGCTTGTGTCGGGCAGACGCTCAACCTCGGGAAATGCCGGATTCTTGCGACGTGCTTTTTCATGTGTTCCAACATAAAGCAGTTTTTTTCTCGACAGCCTGCCCGACAGGTTTTAGTTGCTGCAGGTGCCACGACACGCTAAGTATTTAGGGGTCGAGGTCGGCCCTCAGGGCGACCAGTATGCGTGGCAGGAGGCACCCATCAAGTTTCAAGGTAGGGTGCGGATGCTGAGCAGGCTCGGGTTGTGACTGGCCACTACGATTCCTTTGTTCTCCTCTACTTGATTCTCCGTGCTGTCCTACATCGTCCAGTTCTATGCTCCGACTCCTGTAGTACTCAAGGTCGAGTCCAGCCTCGAACTCCTCGCTGTTGCGCCACGGTTTTCGTTTTCAGGCCCCATGCTGATTGGCCTCAAGGCGCTGGGGTACCGACGGAGTTCCCACCTTTGGTATACTATGCCAGTGCTGTGCAGCTGCGTGCCGCTTCTACATGCCCGACGTTTGCTCAAGCCAAAGCATGATTGGAGAGCATGGTCTCTGTCAGGAATATGTATGGGGGAGGTTGGGTCATATATGTATTGCACGTACGGTGTGGGGATGGTGGAGGGAATCGTTTATGTACCAACTGTGAATTTGTAGTGATGGGTGTGGCGATATCATCATTTGTATCCCTGGCGCTTTTCCCAACTAAGATGTCGCAGCTACGTTTTTTATACATCGCTTCGCTCATTCTGCCGGCCCATGTTGCTTCGCCGCTGTCGTTTGTCAGGGTGTGCCTCTTGGGGCTCTCTTGGGAGGCCTCTTGGTGGTGTGAAGATGTTGCAGGCCATGCCAGTGGCGACACCCGCATTTCTTCATCTCGAACCTCATTGTGCGCTGCCCTCAAGGCGCACGTGTCTCTGGGGGGCATCTCGACTCCTAGTGCGGGCTTTGTCCCCCAGGGGGTGGGCACATGCAGACAGGCTTTCAGGCACACTCATCCCTTCCACAGGTGGTTTCTGCGGGAGTCTTGTGCGCGTCGTGGGCCGTTTGAAAGCCATCGTGCGACGAGTGCCACTTAGAGCGCTGCCAATTACCCGAATGATCGTTGTCAATGCGGTGCTGCTGAGTGGGGTTGTTGATTATCGAAGACGCCCGCGGCGAGTCATCGCCGCCCCCCGCCTTTTTGGAAGCGCCTATGTGGCCGAACGTTGAGGCCAGACCTGCCAAGCTATCGGACCATGTGTTCCTCGAATCGGGTTGGAAAGTCTTCGGGGAACACGTGAGCATCTTGAAGGTCATCTTGGCCGTCTGGAGGCCATGTTGACCATTTCGGGCCTTCTTGGAGGACGTCTTGGAGGGCTCTTGTGCCGTCTTGAAGGCCATCTTGAGCGTCTTGGAGGCCTCTTGGGCCGTCTTGGGGGCCTCTTGGGGCCGTCTTGGGCCTCTTGGGCGATCTTTGGGGGCACTTGGGCCCTCTCGGGCCGTCGGACGGCCGAAATAAGCAAATGCCACAATCCTTCAGAAACTCATAGGAAACCGATGATTTTGGCATTTTCGGCCCTTCCAGGGGGCCCTCTTGGAGGCCTCTTGGGCCGTCTGAGGCCATCTTAAGGCCATCTTCGGCAGTTTTGGTGGGCTCGTGGCCCGTCCGACGCCGTCCGAAGCCGTTTGGGGGGCCCCTCTGGGCCGACTTGGGGTCTTCTTGGAATGCTCCAGGTCAGTCTTGGAGGCCATCTTGGGCGTTTCAAAAGCCTCCTGGACAGTCTTGGGGGCCTCTTGGGGCCGTCTTTACGGCCTCTTGGGCCGTTCTGGGGCCATCTTGGAGGCCTCTTGGGCGATCTTTGGGCGCTCTTTGGGGGCTACTGGGCCGTATCGGGCCTTTGGATTGCCGAAAAGAAGCAAATGTCAAAATCCTCCAAACACCTAAGGATAATCAATCTTTTTGGCCTTTTTCTGGCCTTCCTGGAGGCCCTCTTGGAGGCCTCTTGGGCCGT